TCGACCAGGGGCATCTTCAGCCCGCTGGCTCCCGCTGCTCGACCAGCTCGTCTTCCTCTCTCTATATTCGGCAATTTCCTCCTCAGCCTCGGAAAGTGCAGTTGCGGCATTCCAAGCAGTAGGAATCGTCCCAGGGCACCAAAAAAATTGGGGTAAAAACAATAAACCCCACAAGATTGTCGGATCTAGAACCGAGTCTTTGAGGGCGTTGGGTGGGCTTGCGCGAAGTTGTGCAGGCGGCAAGCGTCTTCCGGATTGTTGGGACCGGAGAGACACGGCGAAATGCACGCCTCGGCCAGGCTTGTTAAACACGAACAACGCCACTTTGCCCCGTCTGCCATTGTCCTGGGGCTCGCCTGTGGGTCGCTGAACTTCCCTCATTCATCATGTCCTCTCTTAATTTTCTGGCTCCAAGCTTAGACTTATCCACTGTTTGTGGCATCGTCTTCCCAGCTGAGCTGAAAAAAAAGGGTCCAGACCCGACCCACTCGTCAACCATTGTAAGATAGTCGAGATGTGGACAATCGTCAAAACATTTGACCGCTTCCGGATTTTCCCATTTTCACCTGGGGCAGAAGATGTCAATGGTGGTTCCTCGGGGAAGCATGTGGCCGCCGCCCTTCGCCGGGAAGTCCTCATGTCTCGTACACATCCTGGAGGTTCCTTGCGCGGGGCTTGAATACATATCGGCCGGAGCGGACAGGGGAGGTAGCATGGTAGGTTGTGTTTGGTTGCGGTAGTTTGTTTTGTGTTGTTGCTCAAGGCGTTGATTTGTGATTGTTCGGAGAAAAAAAAAGCAAAGGGGAAGGTTTTAGTGCTCGCTAGGGGAGCAAGTGGGCGGGAGGGAAGAGGATAGCGGGTTGAAGTGGCTGTGTGGAGATTGGAGAGATTGGAGATGAGACGGTTTGGTCTGGTTTTTGTGGATGAAGAGAGGCCAGTGGCGAGTCGAAGGGGTATGTTGGCCAAAGACCAGGATGAGATGGTAGCAGAATGAGAATGCAAAAGTCTTTAAGAAGGGAGTAGCCGAAGAAAGACGTTTGAGAAGATCGTTCCTTGCCGGTATTGTCAGAAGTTGACAGGCGTGCGGTGCTAGCATGGAAGAATCCGACGGAGATCTTGGAGGTCTTCTTGTAGATCTATATATACCTTGACATTGGGGATGGCTTCCAGGGCGGTGAAAGGGAGAGCTGTACGAAGTAATATACCACTGGCCAGAGAGGTATGAGCAGATGGGGATGGCAAGCTTAAGGAGCGGCATGGGCTAGACCAGACCTGGCGACGGGAGGGGGCCATTTGGGGGTGTCTCCAAGGAAGGACCCTTGGTCCCGGGTCCGGACTAAGTTTGGTTCATGTTATCACTTGAGAGGCAGGGTCTGTCTGGCATGGCATGGAAACAAAGGCAAGGGAGCGTGCAGGGAGCGATGCAGGTTGCAGGGGCGTATGTGGGGAATATAAGATCGGCGGAAACATGTTTCTGGGAGAGGAGGGGAGGGCGGGCAGGTCAGTCTTGAGTTGGATTTGAGGAATAGCGTGGACTGGGAAAATGGTACCCCAGGAATAGCACACAGATCATCGGGATGGACACAGACGTAGGAAATCTCTGAAGAAATGGTGATGTTTGAAACCAAACCTTATCATCAATCTCCTTCATTCCTGGTGTAAAGTGTCGTTAAGAGAAGCGAGGGGCTGCTGCGTGGCGTCCGGGACGATGCTCTCCGGGCTGGTGATATCCGTATATCCTTTCCTTCTAACACTAGTGCGGTATCATAGTGCTTTCAGCTCGGATATGCGTGAGTTTAGTGATGTTACTCCCACCCTCCAAGATCACGACTGGCTCAGCGGCTAATTGCTCGTGATTTGTAGCACAGCACACTCCAGCGACTCCAGCGAGTCCACTACTTCGTAGTAAGCTTGGGCGTTTCCGATCAACCGCAGGACCTGTCCTCTTCGGTTTGGCCTGGGTTGGGTTCTTTGTGCCAACTGTGGGGATGTGGATAGCCTCTCGTCTTCTTTCCCTTTAGCGGTCTAGTAAACGCACACTAGAGTATGACCTACAGCACGCGATGGGCCAGCCTCGTCCGGTGGACCATATATTATTGGCAGTGTGCAAGTTGGTCGCTGGCGAAAGTGCAGATTTTGTGGATCTCTTGTTGCTGGAGGACAGAGGCAGGATGCGCGTCCGAGCGTTGGAGGGGTCGCCGAAGCGGAAAAGGGCGGGATTCCTGGGCATTTCGCGATGCGAGATTTACAGGACAGCAGCGGGAGCAAGGAACTGGGCTCGGCGTGGACGCGATGCTTCCTTCCTGTCGTAAACTAGCAGCAATATCGTCGTAGTTTATGATCTGTGCTTCGGAGTGGAGATCTTGTAATACTTCCGTACAGGAGTGGAGCGTAGACTTCGTCGTGGGCTTCGCAGTCGTAGCATACTGGCCTCCATTCCTGTATGCAGGGTTCACGTAGACTTAGGGCAGTGTGGCGTAATGAAGAAGGGGCATTCGTCCAAGAGCAAGGAATACGAAGCAGGGGAGGAAGGAACGAGGGGCCAGCCATATTGCTGATTGCTCCCAGGACCCCTGGGCTGCCCTGCCTCGATGGAGCACAGATGTGTGAGGTGAGGCCCAACTGTACTCTCTCTTGAGATCTGCTGTGGCGAATATTGGATTTCAGCAATGATGCTTCACCAGGTTCCCTTGACTTCAAATGTTGCCTCTCTCAATTGTTCGGCTGCGTCGATCCTCGAAAGTTTGGTTTGGGTCCATCTTCGTCCCACCACAACAAGCTCGAGCCTTCTGTGTGGATAGCCATCCTTGCAGGTGTAATTCCGCCATCATATCCATAATATTCCCCCTTTCCCTGTGCCTCGCATGTTCATCTGGTGCGATGAGCATGCAAGGGACCGGTTTGGCGGAGAAGCACTGGGCATCAACGAGGGAATGAGGCCAAGAGCCAGACAGGTCCGATGAAGCACGAGCTTCGAAATAGCGGGCGGTCCTTTGCTCTTACTTCGTAACTAACAACAGTGATGGTGCACCGAATTACTCGCGCAGAGTTGGCGAGTTAGCAGGTGCACGAGCTCGGTCCGTTGCTCAGTTGCTCTATCGAGCTAGTGCGGACACAAGCAGGATTGATGTTAGTGCATACTAGGATCGGAAAGGAATAGGGATGACCTAACTCGGGATAGGCTCTGTGCTCTGTGCAGAGCGTGCCACGGATCATTGATGTGGCATCAATAGTCAGCCGCATATAGGCATAGCAGGGACAGGGTGGCTGGGCCAGTCACTATTCCGCTGAGTAAATCCGGGCTCGTTGGTTTCGTTTCCATTTCCACGTGGCGGAAGGGGGTGCAACCCCCAGTCAGCTTGGCTTGATTCCAATGGAACTCCGAGAGTACGCTACGAAGGAGGATGTTGATTCGATATTGATCAGAAATCCAAAGAAAAACTAGTTTAGAGCATAACATCAAGAATACACGACATCGTAGTTTGTACCCCGGTCTTGCTTGTCTTGGTAGGAACAAGTTCGCTTGGAGGTTTGGAATCCTGTATATGTGGTAGGTGCACCCAGACTATACGATATCAAGAGGAGCACGCAGTCGCAGCTTCCATTGTGAAATGACAATGGCCTGTGCTGGCCCCGCCTGCCCGAAACTTACATACAATCATCAAATGCATGATCCTTCAATGTTTGGATGAGTCCTCAAGAATCTCACGGGCTGGGAGCTTCTTGCTTTCCGCGTCTTCCTTCGTACGAAGCCATACGAAGGTACAGCCCAGCACATACGAAGCATCAAATCAACAACCACATCAACGACCACATCGACTACCCTCCAAGGACAAGCAGTAATCAACGCTGGCAGCCAGGCTAGCCAAGCAGCGCCGTTGCAGCAGTGCATCATGTGGCAATCGTCGCACTGCAGACCCCTCAATCCTCCTGTCTGCGGCCTGCCCCCTCTTCCTCTGCCCCGTCAACCTCATGCATACCTCGTACATGGCGCACCAAGCGTACACTACACTATTTCGCACTAACCCCCCTTCACGTCCGTCAAGATAGTGTACTTCGTAGATATTGATCTCGGGACGATCCCTTGATCGACGTACAGTAGTAAGCTACCTCGTAGTATCATTATCCACCCCCACCACCACCCACCTATCTCCACTATATACCTCAGTTTCCACCGCTTCCTGAGCCCCCGCGTGGATTAACCCCTCCTTCGTCCTTCGGAAGGGGTAACCAACAGCCACACTACGCTACTTCGCACACTACTCTGACCGACGGACAAGCATCAAGTTGATCTATAACGCCAAATCCTACCATCGCTTGCAGTGCCCAGCCAGGCTAGACAGGGTCTATACACTCCATCGCTCCCTATTTGACCATGTCCAAATTCACGTGTGGCACGCCATCTCGTCCGTTGGGCCGCATCGTGAGCACGTCCTCTCGAGATCAAGCCAACGACCTGATGGAAAACTGTCTCCGCTTCCCCCTTTTACCCTCTGTAGTATGAATATCACAAGCTAAGGAGGGCGAGAGGACTGTGAGCCCTAGCCGTTTCCGTCCTGCGAGGGGAGGAATAGCTCCTCCCCCCTGGCACGAGGGATTTCACGCATCCTTGTACACGTGTCGAATACATTCCCTAGCACATGTACGAAGTAGGACTGGGTGGGAGCATGGACGGAGAATTCATGAGACGACGCTGCGTTGAGGGGGGGAAGATTGGATCGATGCATGAAAGACTGGCATGGATAAGAACACTGAAACTTAGCCCAAAAAAGGAATGGGCTACATATGCAGTCAGTTAAGGACAAGAGCCCCGCCTTCTAATTTTACAAATAACGAGCGATGTTGAAACCAGTGGGAGTATATCTCTCTCTGTGTGTGTGCGTGTTGTATGCCCTATGCGCCCTCGCAGAAACCCCAGCCCAAAGCCACTCTATGACCAAGAAAAATAGAACAAGAAAAAGGAAAATAGGTTTTATCATTGAAACACTGGCCGGCCAAGTCTAATCATCCCACTCCTCGTCAAGCTGGTCGATGAGCCTATTCTCATCGTCCCTGTTTCGCCAATTCGTGGGAGATCTCGAAAGGGGCCTATATCCACCTCCGCGACCGGGAAGGAGCCTGGCACAAGAAGACACGCCAATGATGACAAAGTCCTAGGACGAGACGGGTTAGCAGATCCTTCAAACACTGATAACTAGCACAGCACTGATAGCTAGCACTGATAGCTAGTGTAGTTCTTAGCTTCCTAAGAACATCAATGGAATGACACACCGATATAAAGTTCCAAATGCCCTGCCAGATATTGTGGTTGGGAAGCTGCCTCCACCCACGTGCATGCGCAACGGTCCTCTGGTACACGATGCCACCGGCAAAATACACCACGAGCGCGATGCCAAATATGAGTGCGAATACCCCACCCGGACCAATCGTTCCCGGATGGTGGGGCTCTGCGGCGATGCAGGCATGCTGGGACCGCACCTCAAAGAAGTAAGCGCATTCGTCAGGGTCAGATCCAACGAAATGAACGGCTGCATGGGTTGCCAGCGGATCGTGGTCGCAGAGGAACGAAATCGTCGTCGACTTCCGCCTCTTATCACCCTTCTTTGACTTATCTTCCTTCTCGTCGTCTTCGTCATCACCCTTGTCGTCGTCCTTCGTTCGAGTAGGCGTTACGGGGCCATCGAGGTCCACTTCTTCCTCATCAGTGTAGTCCTCGTATCTATATGTCGCTCCCTCGTGGACGGAGCTAGCCGTTCGCTTGGTCTTCGACTTTTTGTCGCACGGCGATCCGCCGCTGTATTGGAGTACGAGCTTCCGCCCTCTCGTCTGTAGTTTCATAGACTCCTGCCTGTATAATCAAGATGCAAATGTGAGACATTGTCCTGAAACATCTTCATTGCACCTCGTTCGAATGAACATATCCGAGGCAACTTACCCTATAGAAAAAATATCTCCGTCTTCGGACGTGTAGTATGCGCTCACGTTCTGCCACAACGCCTTTTCCACTCCAACCACATCTTTCACGGGCTTCACCACCGGCGCGCAAATATTTAACGTGAAGTTGTAGTTGTAGTCGTACCCGTTCGCATGGTAATCGCTCGTCACCACCCTCTTTCTCGATTTGCCTTCGTCATCGGGGGGTACCGCAATGTCTGGCCGGAGATCGAAGAAGCCACCTATCGCGGCAGAACCCCCGCTAGCGGTGCATGCCGGCACGGGTTCGCTGGTGCTGCTGGTCTTGGACTCGGCTGAGACAAGCGGAATAAGCGCTGGCCCGAACAGGAGAAAGAGCTGTGTCGTTGAGGGGAGACGCATGGCGAGATGGGAGAGATCAGTGGATGGGTTTGGACGATATGGTCGATGACTGAGCCTTCGGATTGAGCCCCCAGTTTGCAGAGACTATGTTCAGCACAGCCCCCTCTGCATTCCGGGTCTCTTGGCTGAAGTCGCACGAATTTCTGCTGCACAGATGGGAAAGGAAGTATAAAGAAGAGCAGCCAATTGAACCTGCTGATGGTCCACAGAAAGAGCACACTGTTGGTTGGAAAATGAGGCTTTGGGAGGAAAGTGATGATGTGGATCGTGCAAACTTCATGAAGTTTGATTGGATCCCCTTCTTCTAGCTTGGAGTCAGCCTTGCTCCAGGTTTCGGCTGTCCCTGGCCTTATTACTTAAGTCGTCACAGCTGGAGGGACAACATTTAGTCACGTGACGTCATTTCCCTAAATTGGCCGCTCTTCCCTCGATATCTCTGAATGTTGGTGTTTCACAGTTATTATGAGGTGCAGCTTGCATTCACTGCCAACGGACATGTTTATGACCGAATGTCCGCGGATGCTGGCTGCCAGGCAGGTCGGTTTGACAGTTGCTCCGTGTCGAGTAGTGCCAAGATGTGTTCCACCAACAAACAGCAAGAAGTGAAGCCGACTTTTTATTACATAAGGTTCACGGCAACACCCCCTGCACCGCTCAGTTCATCCGGAAGCTTGAGACCCGGTTGCTCAGCTGCAATTGAGCATCCTCCGCGCGTCGTCCGCCATTGTTTAAAGGAAGGATCACCTCCGCGGACTTTGGGGTTTGTTTATGATAGCCAGGTTTTTCCTTCTCATACATTTTCACCGGCGGTAACGTCAAAGTCGTCGAATCCACAGTCTATTGTCTAGAAGCTCCCTTATCCCTGGGGCAAAACCTGCGCCGAGATGGCACCAAAATCCAAGACACCCGCCGTGAGTGCGCCGGTGCACGAAGGCTACGAATTCGGCGGACCGTAGGTCTTACCTTTCCGGATTGCCTTCCGTGGCGCTAACTTTATTCTCTTTCTTAGTCTCGGTGCCGCTGCGATTTCTTTCGGTCTCCCGATCCTAATGTATGTCTTCACATTCGCGTGTAACGATATTTCGGGATGCCCTGCTCCGTCGCTATTAAACCCCAAGACCCTCGATCTCGGCCAATTGAAGCGTGAGGTCGGCTGGCCCGAGGATGGCATCATCGGCGTGTTCGATCTCAATGTTACGCTCTATGTGTTGGCCTACTACCTGGTTAATGCGCTACTCTACGGCATCCTCCCCGCGAGCGAGGTGCAGGGCACGGAGCTCGCTACCGGTGGCCGTCTCACGTACCGGTTTAATGGTATGCCGTTCTCCCTTGGTCGCTTGTATGATTCAGAAATCTAACCTTTTGCGATTTAGCCTTCACCTCGCACATGATCATCCTCGCCGTGTGTGTGGCCGGTACTGTTCAATCCGGCGCCAGCTTCACACTCTGGACCTACATCAGCGACAACTACCTCCAGATCTTCACGGCCAACCTCCTGCTCGCGACTTTCCTCGCCACGTTCGTCTACGTCCGAAGCTTCAGCGTCAAACCCGGCAACAAGGAGATGCGCGAGCTCGCAGCCGGCGGTCAGACGGGCAACATGATGTACGACTGGTACATTGGTCGCGAGCTCAACCCGCGTGTCACGCTCCCCATCATCGGCGAGATGGATATCAAGGTCTGGTTCGAGCTGCGACCAGGCCTGCTCGGTTGGCTCCTCCTCAACGCCGCCTGGGTCGCTCAGCAGTACCGCAACTACGGCTACATCACGGACAGCATCGCCTTCATTGCGGGTATCCAATCCCTGTACATCATTGACTCGTGGATTAACGAGTCGTCCATCCTCACCATGATCGACATCACCATGGATGGTTTCGGCTTCATGCTGTCTTTCGGTGACATCGCGTGGGTGCCTTTCCTCTACTCGACCCAGACGCGTTACCTTTCCATCTACCCGGTCACCCTCGGTCCTACCGGCATCGCAGCCATGCTCGCCGTGCTCGGTACGGGCTTCTACATCTTCCGCTCCTCCAACAACGAGAAGAATCTCTTCCGGACCAACCCCAACGACCCTCGCGTGTCGCACCTCGAGTACATCCAGACCAAGACGGGCAGCAAGCTTCTTGTCACGGGTTGGTGGGGCACGGCGCGTCACATCAACTACTTTGGTGACTGGATCCAGGCCTGGCCGTATAGTTTGCCGACGGCCATCGCTGGATACACGATCCTTGCGGCGGGCACCGGGGCCGAGGGTGCGTTCGTCATGGCCGATGGCAGGGAGGTTGTCCAGGGTGCCGCCAGAGGTTGGGGCATGCTGTTCACATATTTCTACGTTCTTTACTTTGGCGTCTTGCTCATCCACCGTGATGGCAGGGATGACCAGAAGTGCCTAAGGAAGTACGGTGATGATTGGATTGAGTATAGGCGGAGGGTCAAGTGGAGGATCATTCCTTATGTGTATTAAGCGGGATATGAGAATAGAGGTAGTTATGTAAGTGGTGGACAATGCCTCGCGTTGAAGTAGCGTGGGGCCGCCATTAAGGTGAAAAACAGAAGGGGAAATATGTGCATATTGGGCACGGTAATGTAAGGGAGCTCCTTCATGGGTTGTGTCATTCGGCTTTAAGAGCTGTTTAACTGGCGCAGACGGGAAGCTTGGACAGGATCAATGTTGGCAAAGGATCTGTGCTGTGGTGGATACTGGCGAGATTGCCGATTGACGAAACAGACACGAAGTAATAATATAGTCTTATAGACATTGAAGGCTGTTTTGAGCGTAGGCGAGTGGCGGTTCCGCTTCCGTCCAGCGGGATTAATCCACGCAAAGGCACGTTTCGAGGCGAGAACAACAATTTCTCTACTTTAGAGACACAGAGATGCAATCATTTACAAAGCTGCGAGAGAAGGTTCTTCCTGAAGTTACTTCGTTTATATGCAACGAGGGAACACTACGGAAGCCTGCTTCTCCGGACCCCAACTCGCATAAAGAAAAAGAGTATGGACAAAAAAACCCGCTCGCCGAATTGACGTCAAGGCGGGTAAAGTGCCGACCCGTGGAAGGACCATAAACTGGGTCTCTTTCTGGAGGGGAATAGAAAATATAAAGTGAGGGAGACCGGGATAATTAGGGAGACGGGTCAAGCGGCGCGTTGCATTTTCCGAGTCATGTAAACATTCAATCCTCGACCTCGTGAGCTCGGGTCCTGTTATGCGGACTGAAATCTAATAACCGATAGAAATGGTATCCATGGATCGAGGACATGTAACGTTCTATGAGAGATCTCGAGTCATGTAGCATGACCGATGGAATCGGAAGATGAGTGAACATATTCGGACTTGGAAGTTAGTCTGATCACGACTAGCTTTGCACTTGCGTAGTGGAATCTTGGTTCATGGAACAACAATGCTGGGGAAAGGGCGCCAGCATTCGGCAGTAGGGTCGCATTCTATGTCCGGGGCAAAAGTCCCGGCCGACAAGCCTCCGAGAAGCCAACGCGCCAAGACGAGGTCTGTTTCCCGGGCCCGTAATGTACTTTGTAGCATAGCCTGGCGTCGTGGATTTAGTGGGCGGGTGTGTCCTTGTTTGATTCGGATCGACACATGCCCGGTGCGTCTCAAGCGGAGTTCTACGATGTCCACGGTAGAAACATTGATAACTCTCCCTTGACGGTAGGCCATCGCACATGACTTCGCAAACTTACATACGCGAAGTAAATCGAAGCCGGGGCCCTCGCTGCTTCTGCTCCTATTTCTGTTGATAGCGCTGACCACGTCGTGGTAGCTCTTGCTCCTTGCTGACAATCGCATAAGTTCGTAGGGATCAAGAACCATGTTCTGAAGATTATTGGCGATGATCCGCCGATCGGCCCTTTTCTAGCAGTCGGGGCACCACAAGGGGAACAAAAAGGAAGGTCCTGCCTCTGCCTCTTGTCTTTTTTTCTTCTTTCTTGGTAACCATCATGGTGTAAGTGTTAGATGTTTGCTTTTTCACATGTTCTTGCCAACTCCAATATACCATTGCGTGTCATTGGAATGCAGGCTGCAGGTCAACGCCGGCCGGTGGTAGTCGGGGCTTATTCGCGGCCGGGGCAGCTGTACGACACGCGACACCAAGACCCCATCTCCACAACGCAGGACGGCGACTAATCAAGATTGCGGTGGGATCTTGAATTTAGCGTCGTTAGGATTGGTGTTAATGTCGGCTCCACGCCGGGCAGATGGTCGATCACCAGACGTCGTTGGTTACCATTGATCCATTGATCCCCGCATCAGCAAGCTAAGCTGCATAGGCCCTGACCAAGCGAGCGAATGCGTGTTTGGTTTGTCAACGGAGTAAGTCTTGTGCAAACTACACTCGACATCGCTGATGCTACTTTGTACGCTCGTATTGGATATCTCCCCGAAGCCAAGATGCGAAGTAGTGTGTTTATAACCCGATTCCGCCTGATGCCTTCTTCCTCAGGCAAAGGTACAGCAACGAAGCATTCGAAAGCACAACATCTATGACGTGTGCGGCCCACCCTGAGACGCGAGGTGGGAAGCTGCTGTCTACTGAATACGGATACTCAGTAGCGTTGCGGGTTTGGGCATCGGACATTGGGCATGTGGCATGTGGTATGCGGCGTCTTCGTTGCTCCTTCCCACATCTTGCGAGGCATTCATGGACGAAATATTTCATTTGAGTGTGCCAGCAGAGCTTCCTTCGTTACTTCCATCCAGTTCTGAGTACATCATCACCACTCTATTTACTTCCACATATTAGAATCATGCCTGTTTAGTGTTGGCCTCGCCAAAGGTGCACCCAGGTGGTTGAGATTACCAGTAGGATCCAAAGTCCAGGAACCAGCGGGTGCCACAGCCGTTGCCACGCCCACGCCACCCCGCCGATCTCTATCATGTTTACTTCGTACAAAGTACATAGTTTATATCTCTCCAAGGACTACGAAGTAAAGACCAGAGCAAGCAGAGCTGCCCGGTCCTCCATGGAACCGAGTACTTAACAGTGCCGCATCATTAATCGTCGTTGATGCATCTTGCGTCCTTTCCAACCTCGTTGCCACTACTACTGCTACTGCAACAGCTGTTGCTGGCTCCTCCAATACCACAGTATCATGGGAGTTTGTCCGTCATCGCCGGGATTTCCCAGCCTTAACGAACCCCCCAAAGCGCTCAAGTGATGTGGTTCGGATGCCGGATCTCTGGACAGACAACCAAATAGACGAACCGAACCAGATAATGCCCCGAGACCTCGATATTCCTCTGCACTTTTGGCTCGCACCCTCCACTACCGCTTCCACGAGCTCCACTGCACTCACCCGCGTCCCGCTTTAGAGTAGCAATTATTACCTCTAAATATCCTTCCGTGCTTCTTTCGTTCTGTCTGTCCGTCTCTATCCGTACATTGCCATTATACAATATATATACAACATTGAAGTATACACACGCATATATATCGATATATAAAACGACCTCTCCGCCCCTACAAAGGTGCCCCCAAAACTTACGTTAACTACGGATGCCAGGCACATTTATGATATCAGGGTAATTACCTGGATCTTGCCTTCCTCGCTCAAATCTACGTGTGCTGTTCATTATATTGTCTCCCCTGATCTCTCTCCGCTTCATCCAACTACACGCACCTAACAGTACATCCCACCCTCCCCAATGCGGCACATCAGCCGCGGAAGGTTATTGTGAACCGATATATTAAAGCACGCCTTGTCTCCCCCCCGTCCGCGGACCTGCTTTCAGGTGTAGCCTTTAAAGTGCCGTCTCTACCCTTCCTCGTTGCGCCCTGCCTTAATACCCTTGAGCACTCAATTGATCTCGACGAGCTCAGGTCAACAACTACGGGTGGCGTTCTGAGGACTTCGAAGGGATTGACTCGTCTGGAACTGGATAAGCATCAAATAAGTCAATTGGATAGGCACATTCTTGACACTCTCGTATCCCACCCGCAGCCATGAAGGCCGGACTAGTTTCCGCTCTCGCTGCCCTTGCGGCATGCGGCGAGGCGGCGACGACACCCAAGGTATGTTACCATCACCCCCATTCATTACTTTGACCTCAATGATGTTAGACCACAGACTTGGGTAGTTTATAGAGCGCAACACATAATCTTTTTTTTTCTCCATGCTCTTGAATATACAGCTAAGAACGAATTCAGGTGACGCCACGCGATGAGCTCGCCTATTCCCCTCCTTTCTACCCGTCGCCATGGATGGATGGTTTCGCTGAAGGCGTAGAGTACATGTACGCGAAGGCGAGGGAAATTGTTGCCGAAATGTCCATCCCGGAAAAGGTCAACTTGACGACAGGTGTTGGGTAAGTGTATCCTGTTCTTGCATTCTACCAGAGCCAGTACTTACACCCGAGTCTTAGCTGGCAGGGTGAACGATGCGTGGGAAACACAGGGTCTGTTCCTCGACTCGGGCTTCGCGGACTTTGCCTCCAGGATGGCCCCGCTGGCATCCGGTTCACTGATTACAACTCTGTATACCCCTCTGGTCAGCTTACCGCGGCTACATGGGATCGTGTCCTGATCAACAAAAGGGCACGCGCCATGGGTTTCGAGGCCAAGGGCAAGGGAATCGATATCCTCCTCGCCCCTGTGGCCGGTCCTATCGGCCGAATCCCTACCGGCGGTCGAAATTGGGAAGGTTTCTCTCCGGATCCCTATCTCACTGGCGTGGCAATGGCTGAGTCTGCCATGGGAATCCGCGGTGCTGGAGTGATCGCATGTGCCAAGCACTTCGTTGGCAACGAACAAGGTGTGTTTATCCCTAAATTTGAAAACAGATGGTATTCTAACGAAAACTGCAGAACGCTTCAGACAGGCGGGAGAGGCACAACGCTTCGGTCATGACATCTCCGAGTCAATGTCTTCCAACATTGACGACAAGACCATGCATGAGCTCTATATGTGGCCCTTCGCCGATGTCATTCGTGCCGGCATCGGTGCCATTATGTGCTCATACCAGCAGGTCAACAACTCCTACGGCTGCCACAACTCCAAGCTCATGAACAATCTTCTCAAAGATGAGCTTGGCTTCCAGGGCTTCATCGTGAGCGATTGGCAGGCTCAGCATAATGGTGTCTCCTCCGCACTTGCAGGCCTCGACATGACCATGCCCGGTGACACGACTTTCAACTCTGGTCTAAGTTTCTGGGGCGCAAACCTCACCCTTGCTGTCCTTAACGGTACCGTCCCTGCGTGGCGACTCGATGACATGGCTCTGCGTATCTTGACCGCCATGTTCAACACCAACCTCGGCCCCGACCAACTTCCCGATATCAACTTCTCGTCGTGGACTCTCGACACAGATGGCCCTGTTCATTTCGTCGCCAATGAGAACTTCGAAGTCATTAACCAGCATGTCAGCGTTCAGGAAGACAACGCCAACCTCATCCGCGAAATCGCCGCCAAGGGAACCGTGCTCCTCAAAAATGAAGGTGCCTTACCACTCAAGAAGCCCAAATTCCTCGCTGTCATCGGCGAAGACGCCGGCCCGAACCCCAAGGGCCCTAATGGCTGTGCAGACCGTGGCTGTAATGAGGGGACTCTTGGCATGTCGTGGGGATCGGGCACAGCCAACTTCCCTTACCTGATCACCCCCGATTTTGCGTTGCAAGCGCAGGCCTTGAAAGACGGCACTCGGTACGAAAGTATCCTTAGCAACTGGGAGAACTCGGCGACCAGGAACCTTGTGAAGCAGGACAATGCCACTGCTATTGTCTTTGTCAATGCCAACTCCGGTGAGGGATACATTGCTGTCGAGGATAACCAAGGTGATCGTGCGAACTTGACTCTCTGGAACGGCGGTGATGAACTTATCAAGAACGTTTCATCCATTTGCCCCAACACCATCGTCGTCATCCACTCCACCGGACCCGTCCTTGTGACGGACTGGTATGATAGCCCTAACATCACTGCCATTCTATGGGCAGGTGTCCCCGGCCAGGAATCTGGTAACGCTATTGCCGATGTCCTCTACGGTAGGGTCAACCCCGCTGGACGCACTCCCTTCACCTGGGGTCCTACCGAGGAGTCGTACGGCACCAAGCTCCTAGCCAAGCCGAACAATGGCAAGGATGCGCCCCAAGACGACTTCACAGAGGGTGTCTTTATCGATTACCGTCACTTCGACCGCATTTCCGAGGAAGACCCCGACTCCGCCCCCATTTACGAGTTCGGTTTCGGTCTCTCCTACACCACCTTCGAGTACTCAGATCTCAAGATCCAGAGAAACGACATTGGTGAATACAAACCCACCGAAGGTGAGACCTTGGAGGCGCCCATCCTCTCCAACTTCAGCACCGACCTCGCCGATTACGTCTTCCCCGACGACGTCCGGCGCATTGAGCAGTTCATCTACCCCTATCTCACGACCGCCGAATCCGCTGAGGAGGCGTCCGGAGACCTGAATTACGGCCAAAAACCCGACGAATTCCTCCCGCCTGGTGCCACCGACGGATCTCCCCAGCCCCGTCTGCGCTCCGGCGGCCAACCCGGCGGCAACCCCCTCCTCTGGGACGCAATCTTCACGGTGACCGCCACCATCACCAACACAGGTGATATCGACGGCGAAGAGGTCGCGCAGCTTTACGTGTCTCTCGGCGGCGAGGACGAGCCCGTTAGGGTCCTCAGGGGTTTCGATCGCCTATCGATTCCTGCCGGCGAGTCGGTGACGTTCGAAGCGGATCTTACGAGGAGGGATCTGAGTAACTGGGATGTTGTGCTGCAGGATTGGGTCATTACCGAGCATGAGAAGACGGTGTGGGTGGGTAGCAGTTCGAGGAAGTTGCTGCTTAAGGGCACATTGGACTTTGCTGCGGGGCCGGAGCCTGAGCAGCCCGAGGAGGAAACCCCCGAGCCAGAGACACCTGAGGAGGAGGCACCTGAGGAGGAGTACCCCGATGAGGAGACTCCCGAGGAAGAAGGTGAGGAATAAGCGTAGATATGAGGGTTTTTGTGTTTCTTTGTACATATTTTTAACTCAGCTTGCGCGCATGGGATGAAAAAGAAGCGAATGACAACGGCATTTCTCTATTAGTTCTTGGGATTATGCGTCGTAATGTGTGGTTGGTGATGGAGTGTCAGCAGACTAAAGAGAGACTTCATTTGTCTAGCTTATATCCGGCATTATAGCGTTACTGGACAGATCCTAACCTGGAACCCTATTCCCTTCCCTCATACTAAGGGTTTAGAGACGTGGTATGAATGGGTGGAATACAAGCTCCAACACTTAGGGGACAGGCTTGGTGTTATCCGAGATTTTGAGAGCCTAGACGAGACGCACATTGTAGATTGACATGACGCCGAGGTAACTTCAAGACACGATATATATATATATAGATGAGAGCAAGTACACTTCTACCAATTCGAGAGTGCTCCTGTGACTTGTATTGTCCCTACTCCAGAGTTGCTCTACTGATGCCGTAAATACAGGAGGCCAAGCAGCTTTATAAAGGGCACTGGAGCGCCTCGGGCGCTCCTGACAGGAAACAGATACATATAGACATACGATTTTCGGGACAGAGGGGCGGGTATTGTGACTCTAGCTCCTGCTATCGCTCCTCGCGGCGGCCAAGATGTGCTTCTACATAACCTTGTCGAGAGTAGCGTCGTTGTTTATACTGCTAATACGTACCGGAAGCTGCGAATAACCCAGGAAAATATTGATGGCAACTGATCTGCTTTCTACTTTGGACAGCGACAGCCCAATTGACATGTTGATCGGTAGCACTAAAACTGAATTGGCCCGTCGCTCCGCGGGCTCCTAGTCAGCTCTATGGTTATTTGAAGAGATGGTGACTGCTCAAGGCCGAGGAGGCTCCAAAAGTTCATTGGGCAGTTACTCGGACTCTTAAGAGGAACAGAGCAGCAACCGGCGAATGGAAGTGTTTTGAGGTTTCCATGCGATGCAGGGAAGGGTGGGTACGAGGCCCTCCTTACCCCTGCTTTACCACTTTACCACTTGGCGTACGTGTTTACATGGCACACGTTGAGGATTCGGAAGAATAGTGTACGGACATTTTCGGTTTCAAGCAGAAGCAGTTAAGCTCGCCGCAGGATCAACAGACCGGATGTTCTAAGAAGAAAAATATTAAAACCTACCGAACCTGTGTTAGGAAGATAGAGTATATCCTTAGCTAAAACAGAATAGGAAAAGAAAAATCAGTCAAATATCCCTCCCATACCTACCTAATCCCAACCGTGATGAACTGGAATCGGCAGTCGAAAGCTCAAAACATCTCATCTTTACCCCGGAACATCGTCGGCGACCAATCCTCGCTCTCCGTACGTTTCCTCCCCATCCCCGTCTGATTCTCCGGCTTCCATGGGTCCCGAAACACCACTAGCTCCCCTTCACCATCACTACTATCTCGTCTCGTCCAACTTCCGTACGGCCAAACTCCTTCCCGCTCATCCTCCACGAAACCCCTGCGTTTTACGGGCGGGCGAGTACTGCTCGGCGGCGGGTTCCTGTTCGAGACGGGGGCGGTGCCTTCGGGATAGAAGCTTGAAGGGGGTCCGATGAATCCGCGGGGTGGAGAGGGCCTGCGTCCGAGTCTTTTCTTCTCGCGGGGTGGAATGGGAGGTGGTCTGCGCCCCCGCGAGGGCTCATCACGGATGCTTGGTGCTTTGGGCGCGGGCGACGATTGGTTACTTGGAGGAAGTCCGATGAACCCGGGGGGGGGCGAGGGCCCGTACGCGAGCCTTTTACCACCGCGGGATGGAGGGAGAGGTAGTCTGCGTCCTCGTGGGGCCTCGTCGTCACGGATGTTTGGTGCTTTGGGCGCTAATGGCGCTTGGTTCTTTGAAGGAGGCTGGCCCTGGGTCTTTTCAGCGGCCTCCGGCTCTAGGCGTGACAGAATTCCTTTTTCGTTGTCATCGCTTGGGCCAGAAAAAAGAGACGACAACCCTTCTATCGACTGGGATATTTCCCAGCATCTTCCCAACCTCTTTGCCTTGGGAGAAGGGGATAATTTCCTCACATGGAAGGCATGCGGTCCATCATCCCCGATGCTGAAGGAGGGGAATGTATGCGGGCGTGGGTTCGTAAACATGGATTCTCCGGGGTTAGATCTTTTAGGTGTATCTGATACTGGTCGCTCTCTGACGGGGGTTGAGAACTCGGTTGTGTGAACCGTAACTGTCTCCCAGGTTGCCGCATCGCTAGCATTAAGTATAAAGTCTTCTTCATCCTTGTCATTAGGCGACTCCGTCGGCTCGGTAGCCTTTACCTCCTGTATGGAAGATTCTGGACCTGGCTCGACTTCAGCTCTTACCTCGCCGAGAAGTGGTTCAGTATCATCACCAAAGAACGGTTGCTTGATGTCTCTGTGAGAATAACCGCTATTGCGGGAGGTCGTGTTTCTATAGAGAGAGTCTACGGGACTCGCGGACGGAGAGCGAGCACGAGCATCTCTCTTAGAGCTGCGGGAATGGTGAGAATAGGCCTTATTCTCCATCTCGGTGCGTCGCTTCGACGTCTGTGAACCTTGAGCCTCGTCCCTCTTGCGCTGTCGGAACTCGCGCATCATCTCACCCCTCTTCGATAATCTGTCCCTCCTCAGCTTCCAGACAAACTTCCGAGCTCTCCTCAGCTCGGCCGCCGTCCAATCACTCTGCGCCCGAATCCCTGCCGCCGACTCCTCATCAAAGCAGTCGATCCAACTCTCCACCATCCTCAGGAACCTCGGTTCCACGTCCCTTTCCCTCGAGAGAATATTGGCCCTTAGGTCCGACAACAACTGACCTCGAGACCCGATGCACGCAAGGATGCAAGCCTCGCATCCACCTACCACCTGAGCAAGTCTCACCTCACCGCTCTGCACGTACTGATGACCAAAAACCATGCGAAACGTATCCCTATCCAACCAGAGAGCGTTTACCGAGTGCAACCGGCCTCTGACCTCATCCACGATCTTGCTCCTCTCCTCCGCGTTATCGTCTCCCTCGCCGTCCCCGTACATCTGAAGCCTATCGCACCGCAACGTCACCTCCGCCAGAAGAAGGTCAAAAACAGCACGGATAACCCACGGATGCAGCGTCCTGTGCGCGGGACACAGCACCGCAGCGGGCGGTAAAACCCTCGTCGGCAACGCCTCGGTCAACTTAACAGCAAGGCGTTTGAGGAGCTGCTTCGGACGGAGCAGCTGCGGAGGCATCCGCGTGACGAGTTCGGCCTGTTGGCGTAACCACTTCCCTGCTGGCCGGGCTGTCCCGCATCGTGGAGGGAGGGCGAGGAGGTTGGCTAGTTGGCGGATGGAGCGGTCGTCGAGGACCATGACGTACTTAGCAGCGCGTGCCCTCGACTGATCTTCCGGACTGACCATGATTTTGGTTTTGAGACGTTGTTTTTGTTGAAGAGGCGCTTCGTGGAGGAGGGATGGATGAGGATTCACGGAATGCTCTCGCTTTGATGGCTAGCGTTGTGCGTCAACAATGAGCTATGTGTGTTCTAGAAACCTCGTCCTAGCAAACCGTTTCTCCTAGATATTTCGCAGAGTTTCTCAAGACTTCAAGTCAAATTTGATCCCGGCAACTCCAGACACAGCGAGGGCGTTCTATAATTTATATAACGCGGCAGCCCCTGAGAGATACCGTGGACAATATCCATTATCTGCAAGCCAACTCGAATGACTATGTGATACGACTTTCTTAGTTGCCAAGTCAGAAAAAACTGCTGTTCTTTGTTAATATCGGTTTCTGCAAAATGAGCGATCTTTGTCAAGCGGGAACAAACAGGCTGCTGTTGCTGAGGTTAGTGAAAGAATAAAGAACAGCCGCTTCTAAAGTCCAGACTGTCTCTCCTAGATAGCATTGTCAGGACGGGTAGATCCATAGTTAAAGGGAGTCATCGGAATGCAACAGAAATCCAAACGTCAAGCAGTAATGGAGCAAAGCTGCGGATGCGGTTCCAGAAACAAAAGGCAGCCTGTCAGTAACCGAGTCCACCATACACATGCGGTATTGTTCACCAGAGAATCATATTCTTCTCAAGTCCAACTGAACTGTTGCACTAGGGTGTCGAGACCGCGCATAGCCCTTTGTGCCCTGGTTTCCCGGGGTCTGCCTCCTTTCGTGTCGCGTCTAGGAATGAGAAAGATGAATAATGTCCCTGATTAGAGTGATTGCTCGACTCTTATGCCTTTGTTCACTCAATGGCTCTCCTCTGCATAGATGCATGTTCTAAGTGCAAGAATCCCTTCCCGGTACCATCCCAAGCACAATGCCATGTGCTCTAAACGCCCCCAAAAAAGAGAGAAAAAGAAAAAAAAAGGAACAAGAAGGCCATTATTGGCGATGACTCTTACACAGCAAGGTTACCCTGGCTTCCCCCCAAAAATGAAACGAAAACATGGAGAGGGAGTCATAAAAAAAAAGCGAATCCCTTTAACCGCCATCCGACCCGCTTGCTCGCCGTCCCGCCAACCGTGACATGTCCAGTCGTAGCCGCCATGAAAACGTTAGGCGCGTTCGTCGTCTCATGATACTTTACTTATACACAAACACAATGTCCGAGGCAAGATTGCCTCGGCATGACCACCATCAGAAGACTGTGCCATCATTTGGAAATCATGATCGGATAGGCGGGAGGCGTCGGGCCTCCATGGAGAGCGAAGCCGCTTCCATTCGCATCCTGTCAGCTCGAATCTTTGCCGCCTCCGTTCCATCGTCTGGCTGAGCGGGCTCCTTGAACCAAGGATGCTGGAGTGCCTCCTTTGCGGTAATGCGGCGTGCCGGGTCGTAGACGAAGATCTTCTTCAAAAGATCCAAGAAGTTCTTCAGGAAAGGGTTCGTGGAAGGAATGATATCCTAAAGAGTATTACATTAGTCGTCATCTCCAAGATTGTGGGCCAGGGGGAAACGTACGTCGAGTCGCTTCATTGCCTTGACAAATCGCTTCGATGCTCGCGTGGTGTCCGGAGTAGGATAATCGAGCTTCAACCTCTTGAAATACCTGAGACAACGGGTTAGGTTAGCGGGGTTTTCCTTAAACAAGGTACGGATACTGCCGCTTTGACAGTAAAACGCCAACTTACTTCGAAGCTGGGTTGCCAGCATTCCTAGTCGCCATCTTGTTCACGGTCTGGACAAGGTGGCTGTCGATTCTAGAACCGACGACAGCTTCCATCATCGCCAAGTGTTCGAGGTTATCGTGGGTCTGGAATAGAGCATCGCCCGTGTAGAACTCCACAAGAATGCATCCGATGCTCCAGATATCACAAGGGAATGACCAGCCGAGTCCAAGAATGATTTCGGGGGCCCGATAGTGACGAGTGCTGACAACTGAAGAGTGGTACTCGTCTTGGAAAGTGGCTGAGCCGAAATCAATGAGGCGGATTTCGGTGTCAAGAAGAACACGTCTCTGGGTTGCCTGGCGATTAACTGTTGTGGACGAGGAGGGGATCTTCCTGTTGTATGTGAAGGTTTGATATGTGTTATCACAGAGAAGAATATTCTCTGGCTTGAGATCTGTGTGGATGAGGTTCAAGTCGTGGAGGACTAAAACACGAGTCAGCATGGTAAAAATAAACTTGCCGTCGCGACTTGATCACAGTGATAGCAGCAGCAGAACAAAGGGAATCTTAATAACTTACAGGCAACGCTTGTGAACAACTGTCTAGCAAAGCTCTGGATCTGGCTGTTAGGGAATGGAACAAAGCTATTGCCCTTCAGGAAGTCAAAGACACTCTGTCCAAGAAGATCCATTACAATGCAGATGTGGCCTCTGAAGTCGAAACAATCACGTAGATGGATACACCGGTTCCTGTTGTCCTCGTCGTTAGCTTTCAGAGTGGCGAGCACTCGAAGTTCGATCCGAGATGCATCTCGATATTTTTGCACAGATCGGATGATCTTGATGGCGACGGCACGGTTTCGTCGACGGTCTCGGGCTTGAACGACCTTGCCGAACGTTCCTTGACCGAGGAGTTTGATCATTTGGTCTAGAAAAAAGACAATCCGTCAGCACATTTACCTGGGGAGATGAGTTGTATGACGGATAATACGTACAGCGGTCAGTGAGGTCGGCATCGGGAACGACAATGTAGTGCCCGTCATCGTCATCGACCTTGACGTTCTTACTGTAGTTGTGCTGTCGAGGCAATTTGTGTCAGTAACTATCGAGATGCGTGTATGTGGGGGCAAATGGGGTAGGTGGCACAACTCACATCGTGTACAACACGGACGGGAACCTCGCCCGCCTTCTTGGGCGGTTGGGGCGGTGGCTTGTAAGTGATGTATGCGTCGCCCAGAACTTCTACCTCTCGTCGTTTAGCCTCATTGGCGACTTGTTGTCGGGTCCGCTTCCTCTTGTGTCCGAGTTGGATCTCGAAGTCATATTGTGAACCGGATGAGAGGGAAGTGGCGGCCGCAGTGCGGACTGTGGTACGGTCGGTTGAAATGGAGGCAGAGAGGCTGCCGTTAACATGAGGAGTAGAGGTATGAGAAGTGGCATATTTTTGGGTATAGTATCCGACTTCGACGTTTACGGCCTCGTCGTCCCGCTTTCGCTTCTTGACCGCATGGCGGGTTGTGCCTGTGCCATTGGTGTAGGCGTCTGGGGCACCATTCACTGAGCGTTGAGTCTGGGAAGGAGCGACCTCGGGCTCGGGCGTGTCATCAATGACGATGATTTCTTTGGGAAGGCCGTTCTTGTAGAAAGAAGACCAGTCTGGCTCTCGGGAGCGTCGTCGCTTGGGCCTCTCTCGTTGAGGAGCCTGATGTGATGAAGCCATCGTAGTGGCGTAGTCGGTCTCGGGACGTATGCTGGCAATGCTGTAGGAGACGCGTGAGGAACTTGTGTTGGATACCACTACCCCGTTTCCGGTGGTGCTTCCGTTCGAGATCACAGATTGAGTGTCATTCTGGAGCGTCGAGGTAGGAGAATACTGAACCGAAGTGCTCGAAAAAGATGGAGGAGGAAGTCTGTTCGAGGTCGAATTTGTGGAAGCGGACTGGAGAATTGGGTTTGTGGTGGAATGAGGGTGCGGAAGAGGGTTGGAACGGTACGAAGATGAGGCAGTTCCACTTGTCTGGTACGGGTAGTGGTGAGGGCGGTAATGGGGGAGAGTTGCCGTGGCAGTCGTCGGAGTCGACATGATGAGATGAGAGCTGGTAGCAGCAATACTCTTGGAAAAAGTTCCAGTCTGCTACTATCTTGGCCTCGAGAAGAAGAAAAAGGGAAAAAGAAGGGAAGGATAGTAAGGGAGGCTATCGGGGAGCGTGAGTGCGTGTTTTCGGGGAGGAGGAGGCGGTTCTCGAGTTTAGTGAAGGAAACCTTGGAACAAGGCCTGAGAAGAGAGGGTGCGTGGTGCGTGGTGCGTGTGTGCCAGTGTGGTCACTGTGGTGGAGGAAGGTGCCCCCGTCTGTTTTGCCCACTGCGCCAGTCGGGGAGTGATAGCCCCTGTGCTGGGTGCTGTGGCGGGCGGTTGTGTGCTGTGGTTGTGTGGGCGGCGGGACAGACGCTACAGTACGAGAAACTGGGAGGGGCGCCAGCCGTGCTGAGCCTCGGGAGGAGTCGCCTTCTCTACCGGAAAATCTGAGGATTTCGGGCGGACAAAGAGTCTCTCGAAGCGTGTTTTTTGGGTTCCGAAGGTTCGTGAACTCGTGATTGTCGAAGATTGCAGTTTAGCAGCGTCTAGTCAGGTTTGGAGAGGAGAGAAGTCGATGTGAGCGAGAGGGGGAAAACAGCTCTAGGCTGACGACGGGCGGATGAAATTCTTTGCGTGATGGGGTATTATTAGGGAAAGGATCAATTTTGATCAATCTGAAGCCCAGCCCAGTGCAGTTGCCACGGTTAGTGGGTGGCCCCGGCGTTTTGTGGGGGGAATCAGGATTTCAGTTACTCCAGCGTTCCAAAACCTAGACGGATTTGGATTTAATTGTTACTGGGCAAACGTGTTGCTGTTGATACTGTCTGACTGGGTGTTATTTCCCCTTCTTTTTACGGTCGCGCTTGCCGTCGTGCTAACGTCCAATTTTTTGGACCCAACCAAAGCTCCATGGCAACGGATGACATAGGACTCAGCATGCGAGGAACTCATATTTTTTTCTATATATAAATTCTTCAAAAATAAAGTGACGAGACCCCGTACTCGATATTTCTCTATCACCGAGCCAAGACTGGAAGGTGCTAGAGGTGATGCTGCGTCTGGAATTCTCGGTCTTCCTGACGGCGTGAAGCCCTGGTGACCAATTCTGGCTGATACAGTGAATTCCGGGATTATTACGTGCATGCAGATTACGGAGGCAGCATCGATCCGTTCAACGCTTCTCCTCTTTCACAGTTCCGTTTCTCCCTGTCTCGAAAAAGTCGTTATCACCTCGAATTCGACGACTCGCGACTCCGACAAGTAAACATAACATAACCAGCAATTTGCCATCATCAGAAAGGCGCACGTTTCTAGACCCATTGGAGATCCTGGGTCATTTACCATTGCCGTAAACATTGATCAGTGTCTCTGGATCGACCCTGTCCCCTAGGTTACCATCGTGACTTAAGACAGTGCAATATGCGGGCTGCAAGTACGTACCGACTCCGTCAGGGTGGCAAGGTCCACCGTTCCAGCGCCAGTAACTGTGCTGCCACTTTTTTTCCGTCAGATCCAGTCAAGTTTTGCGACGGCTAAAACGCCCAGTTTTTCCCCATGACAAAAAAGAATGCCTCGATCCGCCTCGATACCTTAATTGGCAACTAAGGGAGTCATCTACTTCGTACTTTTTAATACGTGTACCTGCACCCACTTGACACGTTATTTTCCCAAAATTGGAGGAAGGCGGGCGAGGTCCGCAAGGGCCAATCCCACAGGTTGACAAAGAAAAGTGTCGCAGAAGCGAAGCTACCGTTCGAGTATCGTGGACCAACATTGAACTCTTCACGTCTGACGAAGTACTTGACAGAACCCCAACCAGTTGTCTTTCCGCATTTCGGCCCAGTCGAGTGGAATTCTTGCAAAACTTCAAAAAAATGTTGCCCCTCCGTCGCCACCATGCACTATCTTGTCTCTATACTGAGCCGCTAAACCAAGAAGACCAATGGTATGTACCTCGAGGGTGTACTTTACGAAGTAGTACTTCACACTTATAGCGGGCTGCGGCCACGGGAAGCGGAAGGTCGCTTTGGAATCCCTGACCCGGTCGTACCACAAACGCGCCAGAAGTCATTTGCGTCCCTCTGATCAAGGGAACGCTCGAGGATTGTTTTACTGAGATTCGACTGTTCATTCTCTCCTCCCACGAGGCCAAAATGTCATGGATTCGTAGGCTTTTATTGCAGTATCAGGTGGACGGGACCTAGCGCCCACGAGATGGCTCACCTTAGTCTGGGGTAGACGAGCCCACAATGTTATTATCTAGCCAGGCCTGAGGTCAACCGCCCTATCAAAAAGTGGTATTGCGCTGTCTGATGGATGGGCTCGGCGGGTTTCTTCATCGAGTATTAAAGAATCAAGCAGTATAAAGTATGAAGTACGGAGTATGTACAATTCGCCTTTTAGAGACTTTCTCGCCGCCAAATAATGGTGAAACCCCACAGATAAACCGGAATATTATCTCAGTTCTCCTCTCCTTACTCATGCCAATGGACAAGTAATGCCGAGTTTGCGAGTCCTTACGAAGTAAAGTTTGGTTGAGATGGGGAACTGTACTTCCGCTCTGGCTGAGCCGATTCAGTAACCTTAACCCCTTGAGGACGATTGGGACCCGATGCGCCCCTCACCTAACACTAACCCATAATCGTTCCGTGTTGCAGCCACTGGCAGGTTCTGGCCATCTATGGACGACAAAAATTGCAATTAGTCCCTAAAACAAAGCGTCAGCATGTCTCAGATCCTTCTCGAGGAAGAGCCAACTTCACTATTAGTAACCTGTTCTTCTAAAACCGCCACGGTAAACTACTTATGATTACTGTTGTGTTGCTCGTTCCCGTATTACCTCGTACCCGTGAACAGGTGTCGACAAGGTAACTTTGTACGTGACCTAGGCATATTTGTATGACCTCCCATGGAGCAGAATGGGTGAGGACATGTACTGTTATCTACGCCTTGCTTGAACGATTTCTCTTGCGCTACTCATGCAGGAGCGCCTGCCTCCAGGCCAGACCATTGAAAACAGAGGATACTGGCACTAGTAAGTGAGTGCTCAAGGTTAATATTGGCCCTCCGAGGAGGAGGGATCATTCTTGAGAGACCTGCAGATCGCAGAGTGTCACCTCCAAGTGCCAATTGTTAAAACGATCCGTTTCCCCATGTGCCGTTGTAAATTCCAGAGGATCTACCCGACTGAATAGGGGAACGTGCCTCTATTCCATGGTATTTGACATCTTCGTGAAACGCCAATACAGGTATGAAAAGACGAGTAACTTTTCCCCCCTCTCTCGCAACCTTTTCTCGATAGGTAAAGTATGTTATCAGAGAATTCGTTAGGGCTGTCCTAGCCGGTCTTGGTAATAGGCGTGCCCAAACTTTGGGGCTTGAAGAAGCCGACTTGTGTAGTGTAGTCGGTGGGCGATGGCACATTCACGTTGCCCTCATCGGTTGAAAGGGGGTGGGCGACCATTTGATGTATTAGTGACCATCTGTGCATGCTACGCTTGGCAGCACCAGGGCGAGTTACCGGATGGCGGCTATTGACAATGGCGTGGTTTTCAGGTCTGTGGGCGCCTGTTCGCAGGTGCTTGTTCCCCATACCATCATCGATACGTCGATGTCTGATGCCCATTCACCCACCAATCTAAGTACAGAAACGGATGTGATCGATTTCGCCCATTCACTCTTTTGTACCAGCATTTGATCACCCCTCCGCCAGCTAAGTCGAATCATTTAGTCGAATCGTTCTTTTTTCGCGGCGTCAAGTTGCAGTGTATTTTCCCTCCAAGTTTCCGGTTTTCCCAGTCTAAGATTTCCAAAGTCACGGTTACTTCTCGTCGTTTCCCCTCATTCTCTCTTCCTTTTAAGGGGAATGATGGCAGAAGGTTGACGTTTAAGTGGGGACGGGCGATTTTAGTCCAAAGTCATCGATTCGACGGCAGGGGAGGTTCACAGACGGGGATACGAAGTAGGGAGACCTCGAAGCGGCGTGGGAATCCGTTGCTGTATGGTAAGCAAACTCGTCCGAAGGGGCTATGCAGTTATAATTCGGTGTCCTCTTCTCGACTTTGGCATATTCTTTTTGTTGTGAGGTCTTCGTTTCGGCTCGCATTTTCCACGTGCAGCCTTAGGATTCCCGTTGGTAATGTGCGAGCCTCTGCATGCGACCGGAGAGAGCGGTACCCAGTCCTTCAAGTCCAAGTGGAGTTTTTCGACGAGTTGTATTGAAGATACTATTTCATACAGGTTGAATTAACCGATTCCTACACCAATGGCATGACCTCGTTAGGCTTGGGCGAAGTAATTCTTACCAGCATTCATATTGCCCTGGCTCGAGAGGCGTCTGAGATGATATCAGTGGATGTGGCGCTAATCAGCCTCAAGACCAGCCCAGCCAAGCACAGACCATAGTACAATTGTAGCCATAGCCAAAAGTGCAAGGGGCCGGTTGAACATCGGAAGTTCAGTTTGCTTTGACGTAGAAGAGGACAGCTTTTGTTACCAGCAGTGGAAAACCCGCGACAAGGTAGAAGGAGCCATTGAATGCGTCTTTGGGGGAAGACGATTTCATCAACTGATGATCCAGCATAATAGGACTTGACCTAGTTCTTTCTTTCATTCTCTTGACTTTTTCCTTGTCTAATTTCGTCTCTTATACTTACTCTTTTCTTTTTCCTTTCTAACGATTTGCTCTTCCCTTCACACACCGAGACCTAGACGTACTCGTGACCAACAGCTATGCGGTTTACCTCGTGGCTGTCGGCCGCTGGCCTGGCGGCGCTGGCCTGGGCCAAGAAAGATACCACTTCACCGAAAGATATTGACGGGGAGGTCAAGAGCATCGCGGTAAGTTTGGTTGACTGTCCGAGTTCAGCCCTGACCTTGGGAGATCGGCCCACTAACAATATCTCAGTTGCGAACGCACACGTTAGTTCAGGTAGGCGACGTCGCAGACGAGTCCTCGAGCCACCCCGACAACGCAACAGCGAATACTAACCGGATATCTATAGCCATATCTTGACTCTGATATGCAAAGTCGGTGGTATGACTTTGGCGGAGACACTATTATTCGAACGGATTCGTATGTTACTTTCCAACGACCGACCCGGACTCTGCCCTCCCTTCACATAGCTAGGGAGCTTCGTTGAAGTTGTCGAACAGCTACTAAACAAAGCTCTTAATGCAGATATATCCGCCTTACGTCCGACCGACCTTCGCAAGCGGGATGGATCTTCTCCAGGGTTCCTCTCACGGCTACGAATTGGGAGGTCGAAGTCGAATTCAAGATCCACGGCAAGAACCAGCTGTTCGGCGACGGTTTCGCGATGTGGATCACCAAGGAGCGAGCCTCCCCCGGTCCCGTCTTCGGCCACGCCGACAACTTCAACGGCCTCGGCGTCTTTTTCGACACCTACAAGAACAACCGCCCCGGCGTAGTCTTCCCCTACGTTATGGCCATGTTCGGCGACGGCAACACGCGCTACGACAAGGAGACCGACGGCAAGAACACGGAGCTTGCCGGTTGCTCGGCTCGCGGCATCCGAAACGCTCAGGTCCCGACGAAGCTCAAGTTGACGTACTTCCAGGACAAGAGCCTCAAGCTGGAGCTTCAGTACAAGGCCGACGGCGAGTGGACGCAGTGCTTCGAGACCAACGAGCCGCCGGCGATGCCTCAGATCTCGTACCTCGGCTTTAGCGCCGAGACTGGCGAGCTCAGCGACAACCACGACATCATCTCGATCCGGGCTAGGAACCTCTACATCGCGCCCAGGTCCTCGAAGCCGGCGGCTGGTAAGAACAAGAAGCCGCAGAAGGCGCATTCGTACCAGAAGAAGAAGAGCGGTTCTTGGCTCGGATTCCTGGTCAAGTCGGTCCTCGTTTTGTTTGTCATTGCGGGTTCTTATGTCGCTTACACGGCATGGAGGACGTCGAAGAAGTCCCACCGATTCTAGGCTGTTCAACTGGGACTGAAGAAGCGACAGGATTATTGAGGTGGGCGCGTATGTTGGCTTTGTCGGTGAGCCTGTCATGAAAGCAAAAAAAAAACCATGGACTCTTCTATTTCCTCTTTTGCTCTTGCACTCCTGTCCCTAAGCACAGAAGCTCCGCTGTACGGCCATTTTACGAGGTCCCTAGTTTATATTCCGGGATTGCCATTCCTACCCCTCGAGTGCTACTGAAATACTTCTAGGGAGCTCTATTCGCGTCCCGTGTTCTATTTCCCTTGGTCTGCGGAAGAAGGATGTTGTATGTTGAGATACCTGAAAAAATTATGGCGGTGACTAAAGGGGGGAAATTCGCTGATGTTTAGACTTGATGGAGAGACTGGTCGGAGCAAACAGTATGTGTATGAAGGGGACCTTTTACTAGTCATGGGAGCAGGGTGTATCGGTTATGTATTATCAGCAAGCCTTTTTTGAGACATACATCACACAGACTTTTCTCCTCTTGTGATTCTCCTCCCTGAGTCGGTCGACAAGTAAGTACAAGGGATGCTCATTAGACTCCAAGTGGCGGTAAGGGCGAAGTGCTCAGAGCCCAAGCCTCCTGTCAGTGGACGATCGGCAAAGGGTCCTGGGTGTGAGAGTCCTGGCCACGGTTTCAAGTGTCGAGCTTGGGCTCTTTCAAACCAATCGAGGTACCAATTGCAGCAGTTGTTATAAAACCGAGAAGTTCAGCTCGAGTTGTTGATCCCCCTACCCAAGCCTACTAGTTCCATCTCCAAATACGAACGCTATAAGCCCCAGTTGCCCATGATCTCAGCTTTTGTTCCATGAATGCCATTGTCCACGCCCCGGAGCCAGGGCTATTTGCTTCGCTGTTGGTACAGTCAGTGGAGGGTCGTCTTCCCCCTTACACGAGAGCGACTTTGCTCTCACGGTTTGCTGTACCTGTGCGCAGGGCATCGCACGCAGGGGGAAAGCATCTGAGTAGGTCAAGGAGAGCCCCACGAAGGCTCTCGCTACGAATGACACGGTCGCTTCTCTTCGTGGCCCAAGATACAGCACATTTTTCTCAGATGAGCCTGGACCAGGGGTGGCTGACATACATCCCAAGGGTAGTTTGAGGAGATGCAATGCGGCTTAGTACTTTTTTTCTTTCCTTTTCCAACTTCGTACATGGCGTAACATTGGTGGGCACTTGGCGCATGGCCTGGTTACAATGAGATCGAATGGACAGGATTGGATATACTACTTCGTATTGTTCTTTTCCTAGAAATGGTTGGTCCTTTTGGTTTGCCTCACCTCGACTGTAGTATTTCCAGCCTATCTGAGCACGATCCAATATCTGTCCATTCATTGTCCAACTCCGCTCCACTGTTGATCTTGCGGTAATCAGGTGCTTAGTCTGATATTCTGCGAGATCGAGGATGAGCAAAGCCTTTGGGCAGGGAAAGGTACATACAGTTACAGCAGATGCCCACGGCGGCTTTAGGCCAAAGCTGGAGAGGTTGAAGCCTGGAGTCACGAGTGTTTGGTCTGATTTGCGCCTGCTGGAGGTTGGGGCAGCTTGGGGGCTGTTTCAACTTTTAACCCCGCTGTCGATTGTTTCCTGTGTTGGTCTGTTGTGCTGTGCTGGGACTTGCCGCCTGGCACGACATGACGCACTTTGAAGCTCTGACCTGACCCTCCCCAGATCTGCTACGGGGAAGGCGGGGGCTCTTAGTGCGTAGGTGTGAGTTGATGGGGGCACGAACTGTACTAGCTCAGAGGCAAGATCAATGTTGAGGTCAGCATAGTACAGCACGAGACAATTGATCGATCTGTTAATCCTTGATGTACGAAGGTATCGACGATTGTTCAAGGATTGCTCGACGCGCCTGGAGAGGAGTGTACGAAATAATCCAACATTCTACGGCACCATGATAACATCAATTGCATCAAGGTGTTATGAAGTACTCATCGACTGGGAGCTCCGCATTCGCCCTGGCTCCAATGCTGGCCATCGCCCCTGCCCTGGCCGACCATCCAAGTCAGTCCCAGCTAGTCCCGTCCCAAGCCTGGATCGAGAAGGGCCAGATTCCGAGTTGCCGTTCAAGACTGATTTGGCTTTTGCTTTTTGTCCATCAAACCTCTTGCTTCGTTGTCGATAGGTTTCTCTCCCCTCTCTCCATCCTCCCTACTTCGTAGGCACAGCCCTCAGCATCGGTAGAGTGATAAAGAGATGCTCATAGATAGAGCGAGAGACTCGAATTGTACGGTAATTACAAAGTATCGATGGCACTAAGCGGCTTCGCAGACATAGGCGTCTCTGAGGCTGTTACACTCATGTTGTCCAGTTCGAACCTGCTCAAAGCGCAGTGGCATACTTCGTACAATTGACAATGGGCAGGAACATTGAAGTACGGAACATTGAAGTACGCATAATTGTACACCACTATAACATCAATTGACCTTTGTTGGAGACAAGTACAAGTACAAGTACAAGTATAACTACGCAATGCGGCGGCTCACTGGGGAAGTAGCCTCTACGACGAGCAGCCAAATCCATTTGACGCATCATCATCCACTTGGCCTATCTGCCACTCGCCATTCACCATCCACCATCCCGCATCTCGCATCTCGCATCCGCATCCCGCAGAGCCAGAAACCAGTCCAATAGGCAATCCTGGACCCTTAGCTTCCAGCCCGCCCTGGACTCGCCAACTTTTTGAATTCCCATCTCCTCCCTACTACCTCCAAGCCTTCCTTTGCCTAGCTCTCTATGCTTCCCCTCCTAGTGAAGTCCTCTATGAGGTAATAGCCTGGCCAGCCGAGAACACCAACATTTGATCTCACCCAACCTGCACACCTGTTCGAACATGCAATTTGAGACTGGCAACTTTTCCATCATCCTCGTCCCCCATGCACTACGGTTAGTTCCAGATCTTCCTCCCTCGAGAAGCTTGGGCCGGTTGTTGCATCCTGCGTCTTAAATCCAGTCCAATTGACCCGCACCTGCCTCTCCTCGCTCCCCCCCCGGAACCCTGTGCTGTGCTGTGCTCTCCTCTTTCCGCCAGGCCAGCTTTAGCTCTCCCCACGTCTTGCTGCTACTGGTTACTGCTTACTGGTTGGTGGCTACTGGCTACTGGCTGCTTCCCCCCCCCTCCTCCCAAACACCACACAAAATCCTGTGCTGTGTTCATGTTCCTGTTCCCATCATATCCAGTCATCCCCACCAAGCTTGCCAAAGAGCAGTACTTTCGTACCTTGGCCTGATTGCGAGCTTTTTCTCTTTCCCGCGAACTTTCAAGAGCTCCTCCAACACTCGATTTTCCAATTAAATTGCTTGCGACTGCTTTCCCAACCAATACCACCATTTACCTGCGACCCAATTGGTCTTGTCGAATCGAGCTGGCATGTGCCTAGAGTGACAAGGTTGCTCTCGGGTATTTGGATTTGGAAGCTTCGCTTCTTCCGGTAGCCTGTCCATTTTTGCGAACACGCACAAGCACTCGGACACTCTCGACACCACAGAACAAAGGCATACCGATACCCACCCTGTCTTGCCAAAGGACTGGACCTTCTCTCCCTTGCCACATCCCAGCTGCGAAATCGATACCCTCGAAGTATCCCCTATTGGACCGCACGTACGTTCGCATGAGCTTGCTGCTTCTCTGAGCTATTGTTCTTCGCCGCCCGCTCCTGCGAAGCACACCAACTTTGGCAGACCACCAACGCCGAAGCCGCCCACCACGCTCCTCCAGCCTGTGTGAGAGTCCAACACCACGAACGAAAGACGCAACCACCCGGCGTTTGAGCGATTTCGTCTAGCCTATAGACCCGCCGAGCTGCTCTGCCAGTTATTTAAGATATTGCCGAAACTCTATAGTATTCTCCGACAAGGCGTTTTTTGTGTCAGAATCCGGAGCTTAGACGACCCCGCCACCCCCGCCGATCACATCCACCTCGTCATTTCTGTGTAGGAACTGCGATCTACCTCCTGCTCGCCGCGCGAATACGATCGCGACTCACTTTGCATTAAGTCAATTTCGGCCGGAGCTCCCGACCGTTCCCTCCTATGCCTCTCGGTTTTCTTAAGAAGAAAAGGACCAGGGAGGGCAACGGAGAAAACCCGACGAGTTCGCCCACAAGTCCTGTAGCCCCCGCCGCTGCTAAACCACCCGAGTCCACCCCCGTCTCTGCTGGCGGCGGCAGATTGCCCTCGTTCCCGCTCCCGCCTACATCCGCCGCCGCCGCCGGTGGCCCTGCGACAACTTCGCCTGCTCTCCCCAACACGTCACCCAACAACACCTCGCCCAACAACGCAGCATCAAACACAGCAGCAGCAGCAGCAGCTTCAACAGGCAACGAGGACGTCCAAATGTCGAACGTCACAGCCCAACCGGCCTACCCGGCCGGTTACCTAGCAGCTCCCACCCCCGAACATCAGAATCTACCCAGCATCAGCAATCTCATAAACCAACCACAGCAGCATGGAATCCCCGCCCAGCAACCCGCCCAACAACAGTACTTGACGCAACCGGACACCCACCTCGGCCAGACAGTTAGCCCTGGGACAGACCCGGACAAGCTCGCCCAAGCACAGGCAGCTTCGGCAATGGCTCCTCCTGCGCAGCCTACCCCCGAGCAAGGTGCACAGCAACAGGCGCATGGTGTTCAAGCCAATCAACCCTCGCAACCCGTGGCCGCGAGCAACCAGCACGCACAATACACCGGAGCGGGCGCCGGTGCGCAAGACAACCAAGGTCAAGGCCGTGTTACGAAAGGAAAATACTCGCTCCAGGACTTTGAGATTTTGAGAACTCTGGGAACAGGTAGCTTTGGCCGAGTCCACCTTGTACAATCAAAACACAACACACGGTTTTACGCCATTAAAGTGTTGAAGAAGGCGCAAGTAGTCAAGATGAAGCAGGTGGAACACACAAACGATGAGAGGAGAATGTTGGGCGAGGTCAAGCACCCCTTCCTTGTTACCTTGTGGGGTACCTTCCAAGACTCAAAAAACTTATATATGGTCATGGACTTTGTTGAAGGAGGAGAACTATTCTCACTCTTAAGAAAGTCTGGGGTAAGTTCCCCTTTTCGTTGAATTTCTTTTTTCTCCTCTTTCGAAGAGCTCCGGAACCACTTGAGAACGGCAGTTTCGTGTGGCATACTGACTTGATTCTGTCAGCGTTTTCCGAATCCTGTTGCCAAATTCTACGCAGCGGAGGTGACTCTTGCGTTGGAGTACCTCCACTCAAGAAACATTATATATCGGGATCTAAAACCTGAAAACTTGCTCCTTGATCGTCATGGCCATCTAAAGATAACAGACTTTGGCTTTGCGAAGAGGGTACCCGACAAGACCTGGACGCTATGCGGTACACCAGACTACCTTGCTCCCGAGGTTGTGAGTAACAAGGGCTATAACAAGTCGGTCGATTGGTATGTTATTTAGCCCCCTTTTCTGTCCTTGAAACTACTCCATGCTCTGAAGTGAGTACGAGGTATGGGGAGCAGTATTAACGGCAAACCCGGTTTTAGGTGGTCGCTGGGAATTTTGATATACGAGATGTTGTGTGGATACACTCCCTTCTGGGATAGCGGTTCTCCTCTGAAAATCTATGAGAACATTCTCCGCGGAACGGTGAAATATCCGACCTACATCAACCCGGACGCCCAAGATCTCCTCTCGAGGTTAATCACAGCCGATATCACCAAGAGATTGGGTAACCTTTACAATGGCTCGGCGGATATCAAGAACCACCCATGGTTCGCTGAAGTAACTTGGGAGCGGCTTGCACGGAAGGATATAGACGCACCGTACACACCTCCGGTGAAAGCGGGTGTCGGCGATACGAGTTTGTTTGACCGGTATCCCGAAGAGACGGAACGATATGGCCAGACTGGACATGACGAGTAAGTTGAAACTTCCCCCCCTTTTTTCAATTTTTTACTCTCATGCCCCCCGCGAAACTTAGCAGGCATAGGCTGACAATATCATCACGGCAGATATGGTCACCTCTTTGTGGACTTCTAAGGCTTCCGTGTGGGCTAGTCGCCGGAGTCATTGCCTCTTGATACAATTCTAGAGACCAATACCTTATTCTACAATCAAGTTCTGTTTCCTCTCAATCAGCCACCCGAACCTTTATGACATACCAAGAAGAAAAAAAAAACGAACATAGTGCATATAACGAAGAAGAGTATCACAGTTCTGAAACATACGGAGCGGAATTTTCATTCATTATCTTGTGTTCTTGCAATTGTTACGATTAAGGAGCAGAGAAGATTTGTCCAAAGAAACGACGAAAAAGAAAAACAATGGTCGGGCGTTTCGTAGGTGCATATACTTGACGGTGTATCCTCCATAGGCCATGCGAAGGGGATAGGGGGAACCGATACCTTTTCATTTTCTTTTCCTGCTTTCTTTTACTTAGGTACAGTACGGGTTTTGGTTTTCCTCTTTTTTTTCCCCACCTTTCTTCACCTTTTCCTTTTATCAACTGGGGTTCTAGGGTGGGCAATGGGGTTGGGATATATGGGGTGGTTATTGGGAGGTGTGGTTAAGGAAAAGAAAAACGGGGTTTACATACACTGAATTGACTTGTTAGTTTTCATCTTCCTCTTGTTTCCTGGGGTCTCTGGCGGGAGGGTATCATGTCTCGGTTACGGAAGACTTGAAGCCCAGCAATATATATATATATATATATATCGCGAATGGTTGCTACTGGGAGGAAGTTTGGGAGACACCTCCATATGACGTCGATGTTGACATCTCAAGCGTAATCCTATTCTATTCGTAACACTTCATCATATCTAGCATTACTCTGTCTCGGGGAAATGATTAATGCCAATGCAACAGTATAATACCAAAACCCAATGCATGAAACAACTGCCTACCAAAAACCCGATACTGCAAATCATATATAGCAACACAATGGGGTGAGGGAAAGAGAATACCCTCCAAATATCCCTCTCCCTCTCAGTCCTCCTTGTATGAACCCGCATACCCTTCATCTTCCATCCCCCTAAAGATGTGATGCTCCCCCATGACAATGCCCTCCTCGATGCCCTCGGTATCGTCCCCATCCGTCGTGCTATTCGACCCATCAGCAAGCAAGCTCCTCATATCCTCCTCGCTCAATATCGTCTCAATAGAACCCCTCCTCAACCAAGGCCTCGTCTCCAACCTTCCCTTCTCGACCAACCTCTCAATACGGAGCCTATTCGAGATAAACTTGAGTTTAGGAAACGCACTCTGCTGCCCCTCGTGAATCATCCTCGCAAGCCGATCCGGGTCCGGATCCGAGAGGATATTCCAAAAGTCCGACAGGATGCTCTTAGGCCAAATAGTAATAGTCCCCGCGAACGCGTCCTGCAACCACAGCTGGCTCCAATCCTGCCCCAGGGGTCGGGGCAGGAGCTCCGCGTGGCGGATGAAGCGGAGCCACTTGTTCATGTCGAGCTTGAGAAAGTTCTCAAACGTGGACATGAGGTAGCCGCCGCGCCAGCCGGCGCCGCGACGGTGCGTCACGGGGTGTCCGACGGTGCCGCGCGAGGAGAAGAAGAAGAGGTTGATGTGCGGGTTGACCTGGCTGACGATTGTGAAGTTTACGTTGAAGTGCAGGTTGAGGGCTTTGATGGGTATGTCGGTGCGGAGGCTGCCGTCTTTCCATTTGCGGCCGAAGGAGTAGGGGACGAGCGTGCCCTCGCGCGTCTTCATCATGAGCACGACGGGGTTGAGGATGCCCGGGACGGCGGCGGAGGCTAACACGGCGGACCAGATGACGCAATCGGGGCTCGTGAGGTAGTTACAGAGGATGGTGGGGGAATGGGGATCCGAGGGCACGCATGAGACGTTGAGGATTCGCCCCGTGCGCTGGTACGCCTCCCGGAAGGTCATGGACCCGCGCGACCACCAGGTCGCGCGGTCAGCCCAATCGATGGCGTCGAACCTCGCTCCCGTCTTCCACCACCGGGGGAGCCAGGTGAAGATGGATTCTCGGCAGGCGGTGATGCGGGTGGCTAGGGCGGGGACGATGAGCTCCTTGAGCTCCTCGTTCGTCCGGGTCGCGACGAGCGCCGCGACGAGGGCGCCGCCGCTGGTGCCCGAGATGACGTCCGGTAGTAGATCCGCGTCCAGGAGGGCTTTGACAACGCCGAAATGATAGTAAGCAAATGTGGCACCCCCTGATAGACATAGCGCGGTTCGACCGAAGTTGGCGTGCATCTGCTTGAAGAGCACCCTTCGGTCGTCGTTGGAAAGCTGTCCCGTATTCAATAAGAACTTGATCGTTTTCTCGGCTGTTGGAAGGCTAGTCAGTATGCAGCGGCGACGGGAAGAGGGATCAAAGAAGAGAAGAAGAAAAGAGTTCCTTACACTCATCGATGTAGTTCTGCACCAAGTTCTTAGTACCGTAGTACGTCTGGCTGTAGAGCCTCGGACCCTCGACACCCACAAAATTGCTCTTCACGCATGCCTCGGCCAAGATCCTCAGCTCATCCGCCGACTTCGATTTTCCCGCCCCCTCGGCCTTATCCGCACCATCCTCGACATCCTCCGCCTTATGCCTCAGCTTCCTCATGTGCTCCCACACGCGCCTGACCGTCTTAGAGTCATAGTACGCATACTCGTTCTCCTCCTTCCAGCTCTGCCGACCAAGAAAGCTATCGAGCTCCTTGGCGGCAACGACCCAGTCTCGGTAGTTATTCGTCGTGCGCATGTTCCTTCTTAACCTCTCTCTCGTCCCGCGCCACGCGAACGTCTGCTCGTACAAGTATATGTAAAGCCGCGTGAAGAGGTACGATATCCATTCGAGCGCAAGGATGCCCGTGACGCCCAGCAGCAGCGGCCACTTGAGCAGATTATACAGGTAGCCCTCGCGGGTCTCGTCCTTGGTCCTCTCGCCCAACAACGAGTGCACGGGCGCCGCCGTCCTCCTCTTCTTCCGCCTTTGCGGCTTCTTGATCTTCTCGTTCACGGGCGCCCAGTCGTTCTGCGCCGATATGAACACGGGCGGCTGCTGTGTCAGGGACAGCGTCTGTCGGAAATCGGGTGTGGTCCCGTTGCCGCCCGGCGCAGGGGACGCTGGCGAGTCAGTCTCGTGGGAATCGACATCGGAAGGGCGGAGTCTAGGACTGCGGATCGTTGAGAAACTCGTCCGCCTTGGGGACGTCAGCTCGTCGATGGGGGTCTGGAAGTCTGGCGCATGGAGGGCGTTCGCGAAGGCTTCAATGCCCTCTGGGTCGGAGAAGTCCTCGGCGATCTCGGGGACGCTCGAGGGGTCGTAGGACTGGGGCGAGAAGCCGTACTTGGAGTCGCTGGACTGGAAGAAGCTGTTGCGTCGCCCGGGCATGGTTGATAGTAGGTTTGTGGTTATAAGTTATATAGGTGGGGTGGATCCACGGGGGCCCATGTCGCAATGCTGCAGCTTAAAGCGTAATGCAGCACAACTAGAGGATCAATAATGTGCTATCGCTGTTGTGTTAAACGTGGGGTAAAGTAAGGTTGCAGTAGGGGTCCTTTAAGGTATTATAATAAATCTACCATCCTGCAATTCTAGAAAATACGAAGGCGAAGAAGACCACGGAACAAAAGGTCGACGCTAAAGTTGATGGTTGGGGTGGAACATTAGAACATCTTGTTGGGAAAAGGTGAAGCAACCTGCTGTTAATACTGTGCAATCGCAGCCAATGTCACAGTCAAATCAATGTGAGCCAGTTCGGTCATTCGGTCATTCCACCCGCCCAAGATCGGGTCGTGCCGCCTCGACACAGCTGACGTCGTTGTCACGTGTCGCCAGTTGGCAGAGACAATGAACTGCTATGAAGGCCAAAGAGACAAAGTGAGTTCAACGGCGTCATCGGACATCCCCTTACCAGTCTGCGCCCTGGTTGGATTGTTATGCCGCCACCTCCAAGGCATCCCTGGTACGAGAGAGACGAACAGTCTCCTTGAGGCTAACTGTAAATAGTATGCGCCCCCCCCCCTTCCCTTCCCAACTGCACCACCTCGCAGTCCGAAGGAAGCATCCAGATGGACCGCACCACCCTACCCCAAACCTCGGCACTCAACAACGGGAAGGCGTACGCGTGTCTTCTCCGGCGTGGCAAGGTGAGAGATGGCAAAAGCAACATATCATCCAAAATAATCTAGTTTAAAACAAAAATATGAATTGCATGAATCTTCCAGCTGGGAAATGGTACAGCCTAGGCGTATCTAATCATCGCTTGTGTTGTGTTTGACCTCCACGAGAACAAAAAAAAAAAAAAAGAAAAGAAAAAGAAAAAGAAAAAGAAACAAAGGGGAGCCTGAACTCCATCCAAATTGAAACGTCTTCCAGACACCCACGTCGTTCATGCCCCAAAGTGCAAGGTAATATTCTCGCTTGACCTGGCAGAAAGTGTTTTATCATTCCGTTGTGCCTCGACATATCGGACATAAGCCCCCAGACATTAAGGTCGCGTCCTAGACATATAAAGCAGGTGCGCGGCCGCCATGATGAGTTTATCATTCCCCGGCGCTCTTTCTCTCATTCTATTTCCCGCTGCGCTTTTCCTTCATCCCCATGCGCGGCGAGCGAACTGGGCGTCTGCGATGTTTAGACGTATTGGGACAACCACCGTATACCGTCGCCATAGCCTGTATATCCCGTCAAGTTAGCAATCAAAGCATGCGATCATCCGTCGAATCGACAAGGTCATAAATATGACAAGCCCCAGATAGACCGAAAAATGGGAAGCTCACCCTGTCGCATGACGACGGAACACATGAAGACTTCGATAGGCCGGATTCCCTCAAGAGGCACCTTGCCCTTGCCCGTCGTTTGGTAGAGACCGAGCTGATGGCGAAGCTCGTCCTCGGAAATGGCGTCGGGGTGGTCGATCTTGTTACCGAGAACGACGAAGGGGACCTTCGCAAGCTCCTCCATGGAGAGAAGGGCGTCGAGTTCAGCCTTGGCCTCGGGGAATCGGTCGTGGTCCTTGGCGTCAACGAGGAAGACAATCCCATTCACCTCGGGGAAGTAGTCCTTCCAAAGACGGCGAGCTGCGTTGGGGGACGAAGGGTTTCGCGTTAGTTAAGCTCGAACAACCAGGTTCATGTCTCACGTCACGCCGCAGGGGGAGAAACGGAGTCGGGAAAGTCGAGAGAGCCGAGAAATACATCGTGGATCTTGACGCTGGAGGAGACTTACCCTGTTGATGGCCACCCAAATCGAACGTAGTGAACCGCACATTGCCAATCGCAAGCTCCTCGGAGGCTGTTATAGGTTAGCATTAACCAGTCGAGTCCATCCCAAGAGTGTTCATTGATTTGGAATCGGGTGTCTCGTACTAGGATGGAGGGTGGGCTGGAGGATAGCGACTCGGTCGTTCTAATCATGGCAAATAACGTTAGTTATGGCCTTAACACTGGGATCTCCGCGCTGGGGAGGCAGAGCGGTCAAAGGGTCTTGTGAATCGAGCAATATGTACCTTCAGCATGTGTAATAGTGTAGTCTTGCCGGCATTGTCGAGTCCGAGAAACAGGAGTTTGGCGTGCTTGTTCAGCAGCCCGAGGCTGGAGAGCACATCGTAGACTGGTCAAAGGCCAAGAGGCCATGGAGGGTTAGCTTTCCATCAACCCCAGGCTCAAGCTGCTTTGGGAAGAGGATGATAACAAGGGGTGTGAAAGGACCAAAGGGGGAAAAAAGGGAGATAAGCACATACACCAGTTGATGATCCACATATTGGTCTAATTAGGGCAGTGTTGGATATTAAAGATGTATATGATATAAAGGCGGGAAGAGGTGTAGATTGGGAGTTGCGAAGGGTGAAGTTTGGTGAGGCACGAAGCAGCAAGAAATCGCAAGGTGCAGTTCGATAAGGTGGACTTAATAGTGTCGTGTCGGATAGGAGCATAGCACCATAATTGGAGAGGCTCATGGCTGCAGTCCCCAAAAATACTGGTTGTTTGCGCCTTAAATTTGAGGCACCAATGTAGAGCAAGGATTTGGACAGCACAGCATCTTTTCGAGGCCCCCATAAAATTCAAGTCTTAACAACCATTGCAACATATTGACAAAGTGAAGCTAAATAATCTCAATAACAGATCTAGAGAGCCCGTGTGACCTGTGACGTAGAATCAGGCCTCATCACCTCTTTCCTATCCTTCTATGGCTAGTTTCTCATGCAAGATGCAAACATGAAGTGAATGACTTGGCATCATTGATCTCGATTCAAGCTAATCTACGCTGTTTTCGACTGTCCAGTAGCCGGACGAGGAATAATCCATCCCAGCCCAGCCAGCCAGCCGATACATCACTTGACTTCGAACAGATCGGAATCTTGAGGCTCAACGACGGCACCCCCGGGACACGGCATGATGAATAGTCTAAAAAGTTCCAAAAATTAGACCAGCCATATCCTCGGTATACGTGTCGCGTAGAAGATTTTATAGTCACTAAAGAATAATCAGAGTGTACAAGCAGGCACAGTGAACTAGAATGCGGTATATGAGATCGATATATATATACAGATAGGGACATGTAATGTGCTGCCCCAAAGTATGCCGAAATAGATACAAAGAAAATAATATTTCATGAATGCCGCAGAATATCCCTTATTCCGCCTGATGATTTCCCGCCTGAATTGCCAATCTCAATGTTCTGTGCTCCAGTCCGAATAATAGAAAAGGGACCTGTTCCTTGTGTGTTTAAACGCCAATAGGTGTATGAAAGTTCGTTCTCGTGGCTCATTAGTGGCTTTCGGTAGCCACATTATTCTCTTCCCGTCGAGTCAATCTCTGGCTCTCCTTTTCTCTCACTCACACTCTCTCCATGTCTTCATATCTTAGACGGAGAGGACGTAGTTGCCTCGGTCCGTCTTGCCGGCCATAAGAAGGCCGAGCTCTCTCATCTTGGTTGCGCCCTGTCCAGGGACGGCCTTTCGCTCTTGAACCTGCCCCTTGCGCGCCCGGTTGCAGTATTTCTGGAAGTACTTCTCTTTCCGTCTCTGCCGCTTCTTCTCGAGGCCCTTGACGATGTCGATGGCCCCACGCACATGGTTCTCCGATGAAATAGCCTTAGCCTTCCTGTTTGCTTTCAAGAAGGTGATCATGCCACCGGGACGGGGTAGTGATTTAGTCGCAACTAGATCAACTGGCGCGCAGAGACCGGCAAGTCGGGGTTGCACCCGGGTTGCCGTAGGCGATGCTCGGGATGAAGTAATAGCCCTGGGTGGGGGCGACCTCATGCGACGAGGCGAGTGCCTGTCGAATAATTTGCTCGGAGAGCGCCCACGGACCTTGGGGGGCGGCGAATGATACCTCTTAGGAGATGCGGTAACAGACTTCATCTTCTTGCGAGATGCCCGGTCCTTGTCATGGTGGACATCCTCCATCTCCCAGATATGCTCATCGGTTTCGTCGTGAACAGGGTTGAACAACTCCTCGCCATCGCCGTCCTCGATGTCCGACGTTGGGAAACTAGGGTCGATGTCCTGAGGTATGACGTGCATCTTCTGCGCTTTGACAGCGGCACGGTGAGAGATGTATGCTTCTTCGACTTCGCGGTCCTCATCAAAAGTTCCGCAAACGAAGTCGGTGCTATCAGGAAGCTCAGGCGCCGAAGGGCGGATAGATCCCCGTCTTGTTTTTAACCTCTTGGTCGACTCTAGGCCGCTACGGGAAGCCGTTGATGAGTCGGAGTGATGTTCGGTTGTTGACTGCCGACGTTGGAAGAGGAGGGGGTTCGGAGAAGGCCCGATCGTAAGTTTGACACCGTGATTCCACAGATTCAGATCGTCATCATCGTCCTCGTCAGACTCGGCGAAGCCCGTTTCTTCATCTGTGTGATAGCCATCGTCTCCTTCAACTGAACCGTATTCATCTTCATCCTCGTCGTCATCCTCGTCGTCATCATCGTCGTCATCATCGTCGTCGTCATCTTCATCCTCACCATCCTCGTCCTCGTCTTCATCGTCTTCATCCTCATCGTCCACGTCGTCGTCCTCATCAATTGCATCCTCATTATCCGCGTTCTTATCACCACCATCTTCTTCCTGCTCTGCCTCTTCTTCAGCTTCCTCTGCGATCTTCCGAATATTGTTTTCCTTTGTGAGAGTATCCTTAATTGTGAGGCGCTTTTTAGGAGAAAAGTGTTCCTCCCTGATCCAGTCGTCCTCCTTCGGCTCGTCGTAAGCAGCTTCCGCGGATCGGGTCCGGACCAAGGGCTGCGCCTCGGAAGACTTGACGATGGCCGATTCCTTGGTGGTAGAAGGGCTGAGAGGACGTTGGTTCTTGGAAGGAGAGCTGGGATTCTCTTTGGAAGGTACGGTCGCTGAAGGTACTGGGTTGGGGCAGGTGAATTTGATGCAGGGTTTCCTGGGTGCTTCGGCGTTAATCTTAGTGGTAGGAGCAAATTGTATATGGGGGGGTTTCTGTTCGGCGGGTTTCAAGTCTGGGTGTGCAAGACAAGCAAAGGTGATGCTTTTTCTCCGAGGCGGCTCGTCTGTTTGCTGGTTCGTCGTCCGGCTAGGTAGTCCGCCGAACTGTAGCTTAGGGCCTTGGTGATCGTTATCTTGGAGGCGAAGAATGGGCATCTCGGGTGGAGGAGGGCTTGGTGTGTCGGCCCTAGATGGGCTCGTCAGGCCCGTGTCACTAGTAAGGTCAACTGTGGAGGCCAGGCTGATATTACTCGTCATGGAGCGCCGGCGCTGACGAGATTGTACGCTCGGCTTAGTATCGACGACAGTGTCTTCGTCTGGCTGACTCAAGAGAGCTTTCGTCAGTAGGGAGGACTGCCGGTCAGACTGCTTGCGGACTGATGTCTTCTTAAAGTCTCCGGGAGCAAGCGTATGCTTGTTCCCGAGACTACAGTCGGGCGGCTCGTCGACGTCGGCGCCGGCCTCCTCGTCGACTATCGGAGGGACGTTGGCCGAGCGTGATGACCAAGTCATGGCCTGGGAGGCAGAGGATGACAGTCTTTCCGCGTCCATCGTGCCGCGATGTAAGAACGCAATAGGCTTAAGCAAAGTGCCGTGAGTCTGGGGTTATAGAAGAAAAATGTGGGGCAACGAGCTCGGTGAAGCGGGTTAGTCTTAGACGCGATCGGCGAGCTCGATTCCTGGGTGTGGTGGAGCCGAGTTTCTGAGATGGTTGAAAAAAAAAAGTTTTCCTCTTTCGCAACGATAGGAAATTGTTTGGATGAACCGATCGTGATAGATTTCGTTTGCCAGGCTCCGGAATCGAAGTAGATGTGTCCCTAGGGACCCCTTGGCTATAATATAAGGAGCATCGTGCGATGTAAGCGGGGTTTTCGAGAAGGCGTGTGTATGGCTGATGAGAATAGTACGCAAGCGATAGATCCGACAGGGAGCAGTTATTCCTCGGTGAGAATGACGCTTATACGCCCTGTTTCCTCTCTGAGTCAAAGGTGACTGCGGCTTGCCAAGCGAAAGGAAGCGTTACGCCTTTGCTGATGGAAAGATTAAGGTGTTGGCCTGCAGTGGACGGCTCAGCTGGTCAACGCTGGTGGCGCAGTGGAAGGGAAGGTCCAAGTGGGTTGGTCAAGCGAGGAGAGTTGATGAAAGTTATGGTCCGTCTTCTTCACGATGTGGCGTGAGTAGACAGGAAGGAAACGGTATTTTAGAGTTCGAGAGAACTTCTTATTGGGACGCCCAAAAGGCAAAGAGTGTTTATGAGAGTATGCTGGATTTCTGGAAAGAGGGCGTTGGGCGGTAGCAACAGGGATACAATAATACTCGAACGTTGGAAGTGGGGAAAGCGGTTTGATTGTGCATGTAGGGATGGATCAATGTGGAAGTGTGGGTTCGTGGGCGTGTCTTGGTATGTAGGGGGGAAAGATGGGCATGGGCGTGGACATGAAGTCTGCATGGGCATTAAGTGGGCTTGGGAGGAGGGTTGATGGATCAACCATTTCATCAAAGACCATCATCAAATCAAGGAATCTGGAAATGGGGCGAAAGAAGTACAAGCTACCAGTAAAAATTCAGATCATAGTGACACCCTGACAAGATTTGGAGGGAAATTCCAGGCGGTGTCCACGGTCTCCAGGAAATTCGCGCTCAACGTCAAATAGGATTTGAGCTTCGGGTGACTTGGGACAGTGGGTTACTTTTCTTATTTCCACAGTGTCTTTTAGTGCGTAATACTTCGTACTGCCAAATGGACTGGACTGGCTTGGGGCTGGGCACCACAAGTTCGTTTCAGCGCGTGTGATACGCCGGCGCGAATGAGAACAGGACAAGGCGTGGTCCAACCAAGCCCAAGCCAAGCAATCGAAGTCCGGCGTCAATCAAGCTTGGCCGAGAGAGGCCTAAGTGAAACTATGAAGTACAGGTAATAATACATTGCTGTTTTACGAAGACAACAACCCGGGAAGTGAGGTTTTGCCTTGATCTAGTCTTTTGCTGAGCCAACTGGTTTTTTTTTTTTTCTTTTTTGTGCCTTGTTTTCTTCTCTTTCCCAGTGGTATACAGTGATGGGGCAAACTGAATTGATACGGATCAATAATACAAGTGTGAAGGTGCCACCAGGCAAAGTGCAGTCCGATTTCAGGCCCGGCCTGGCCAATCCAATCTCAAGCAACGCCCGCTAATGCGTGCTGGCGGTCAGGAAAAGCCCGAGCCCTATCGTCAGCGACCACAGTGGCTAGCTTCGGCGGTGTACGGCTCAGTACCCACTGTAACTCACTGCCGGTTACCCCTGTGGTCATCTCGGAATCCGCTTGGCTCGGCCTGTTTCGAAGTCATCATGCCCTCATGTCCTTAGCGGATGTACTTCATACCACCCGGACCATTCTCGTCGAACATTTGATCAGGAGGTGGGGGCGACATCCGTGCAAATTTGCTGTCGGCTGGACGCTGCGAGATCTTTTTTAGCGTTGACTGCTGGACTATGGGCTAAATTTGATTAGACTCGCCCCCATCGTTGACGAACGAAGTACCACACCAGACATTTCCGCTGCTCTAGCCGGCCCCCAGAGTGTTCTCTCCAAACGCGCTTACTCGAATATTTACTGATGATTACACTAAAGAAGCATGGAGCGAATGTCAACAAAGAAAACCGGCCTCGGGATGAGTCCACTGTGGATTTGGCTCCTTTCTTGCCGGCTACGAACTCGGGACCTTGATTGATGCTATCCTCCCCTCCCACTCCACCAGGCACAAGTCAAAGGTCTCGGCGACGTACGAAGCAAGAGTGAAATGTTGATGTGTTTGGCATTCATTGCCATTTATGGTTCGGCCAGGAACCAATGCCGAGATTCATCCTAACCCCAAACTCGTATCGATAACATTTGAAGCGGAAAAGATTCAGCTACAACGCCCTCTTTCCCACCCTAGGCACGATTTAACCAGAGACATGTTGGATTCAAGTATTACGAGATTGAATTAAATCCGCCATTGCATGGATCAGCGAGCTTAAGAGCCCCCTTCGTCATGACGGAGGGGTCTTGCATGGGGCAAATATGCACCAGGAGCGGAGCGGAGATGCATAAAACAATAGCCGATCGGAAAGATTGCAGGAAGACCCTTTGTTTCAATGAGTGAATTTGTTCCAAACTCAAAGCAAGGAATCTGCAACCCACGTCACCAGACCCTACTTTTTCGTACCCTACCCCCACATCTCCGAACAACCTCCCTCCCTCAGCTTCCTGATCGCCGAAGATTCAGGCTGGAAGTTGGTTGTCCAACTTTTGTGTCCCAAGAGACACCTCCTCGATTCTCGTCGCATCGCTTATCGTTAATCGTCGACCATGGGGAACATTATGTGGGGAGAGAGTACATAGCATGGGATATTCCCCGAGATGACAAGAGGGTGGTCGTCGTATAAAGTCGGAGCCAGACGCTTTGGATGGGTGGGATCTCCATCTGCCTTGTGGCATCTAGCAATCTAGTATTGCACCATAAAATGATTTTATCGCACTTCCTTCGTACGAAGGGGGCGCAATTTTGCGGGGTGAGAGGCTCTTCCCATGTTCCCGATCGATGAACTCATCCGACGATGTTGCCGTGAGCCATTGAGACGATTTTTGAGCTCAACTCTGGTCGAAGTTGCATCAAAACACCCCTCCCCCTCCCCCTTCGCCCATAGACAGTGAGCGAATCCCCGGTCTGTCCTACGTGATAGATTTCTGTGATTTGTCGCGAGCGTCGCAGAACGCCGCGCAGCACATGCTAAGGGTGGTGGAAGAGAGCCCAAGCTACTGGTCTCCTCTCACACCCTGGCTTCACTATGCAGAGAGCTCAGACTAAAATGAGCTGCGACTGACGCGAATGTGCTCAGAATCGGCACGAGAACTTACTCGACTCCACCACTGAGAGCCAGGCTGGAGTCGCCGATGACATGCTCCCTCTGCCCGGTGTGCTACTAACCTGTTGATGCTTCTTGTTTTTTTATTATTTCCTTTCCCCTCGCCTAGAGATGGCGGAAGGCACATGGACATCAACGTGCAGACACCAGCCAGAGATCATCGGCAAGAAGGTATTAGCTCGTAAATCCGGCCGGATTCTTGATGTAAGCTTGCTTCGCTCAAGTGTGCTCCTCGGTCTACGAAGTAGAGGTAGGTGAAGCCGGTGGAAGCAGTGCGCAGCCTTCTCAAGAACCCCGCTTCTATGTCGGGAGAGAGAAGGGCACCTTTATTTGCTCAAAGGAAGAGGAGAGCATCTGAAATAAGCAAACAAAACAGACAGGACACAAATTTATTCTTGTGGGAGGATGAGGACGATGGAGAGCGAGGAGACAAGAGCGAGGAGACAGAAGCGACGTCATTGAATGTCCCAAGCTCCTCAGATTCCGTCTTGGCGGGGCCTGATCTGTGCATTGTGCATTCCTCCTTGTCCAGTCCAACCTGAGAATAATTACTAGTGCAGCGTCTCAGTGGAGGTTCGGCAGACACACCCAGGTGGCAACAGCAGCCAGGCTGCCAGCAGACAAAATGGCTGCTGACAGAGTCACAAATCGTCAAATGCATGGACCCGCTATATACATAAACGCATCCCAAGGCTCGATTTAGTCTCCCGTGACATTCCACGTGAGTCCCTCTTAGCTAAGCCGCATTCGGATTGGCCAAACCTCAAAATGTTGCCGACACAACGACCGATCAAGATCCGTACGAGATTGAAGCTGCTCAAGCAACCAAAACCTCGCCATCAATCGCGCCTCTCCCCCCTCATCAGCCCGTCATGAACTCCCTCCGCTTCGCCCGCACGGCTCTTAGAGCTCGCCCTGCTGCGCTCCGCGTCCCCCTCCAGAGGAGAACCTACGCCGAGGCCGTCTCGGACAAGGCAAGCCATTCGACCCCGTGCATCGATTGAATCCCTCGGCTGACAAGGATTTTTTTTTCCACAACGTTGCAGATCAAGCTCAGCTTCTCGCTCCCTCACCAGGTACGAATTATATCCAATTGAATCGATTCGCGACGATTTTCGAAGATGATGGAGATTTTATCGGAGGATTGGCGCGTTTTGATGGGATTTGGGTGACCAAGAAGCTAATTGCCGCAAAATCAATTCACAGTCCCTCTACAAGTCCCAGGAGGTCGTCCAGGTCAACATCCCCGCGGAATCCGGTGAGATGGGTGTCCTCGCGAACCACGTTCCCGTTATCGAGCAGCTCAAGGCCGGTGTTGTCGAGGTCGTTGAGGAGAGTGGCAGCAAGCAGTTCTTCCGTATGCGAAACCAATCCTCCACCATCTCCTTCCTTTTCCCCGGTTTTTATCGATCCTCCTTACCAACCGAGACCGGATTGAATAGACGAGAAGGGATACTAACTTGGGAATTAGTCTCCGGTGGATTCGCTGTTGTTCAGCCCAACTCCGTCCTCAGCATCAACGCCGTCGAGGCTTACCCCCTGGAGGACTTCAGCGCCGATGCCGTCCGCGCTCAGATCTCCGAGGCTCAGAAGATTGCCAACGGCAGCGGAAGCGCGCAGGATGTCGCTGAGGCCAAGATTGAACTTGAGGTATGCTTTCCGCTGTCGCCGAGGCTCATTCCCTTTGCTCTGATTTGAATATCGCTAACGCGGGTTCTATCATAGGTTCTCGAGAGCCTCCAGGCTGCCCTTAAATAGGCGCGTGTAGATTGGAATGGGGTAATAGAGAAATAAGGAAATAAAGCACTGTACATCTACGAATTCATATCCTTCTTTCCCTAGCTTCCGAATATACCTGATTTTCAAAAGTGTAACTTTTTGCCATACGGAGCAACACCTGCTTTTATCAATGCTTCGGAGTCCGTTCGTAATCTCCTTGTGTATGGAGAATGTTAACACCCCGACCCAAGTCTGCGCGGCTCCAATCCTCAGTTCGACTAGACGCAATGCAGCATACCCGTGCAAGATAGGACTACTTGCCGACACCCACTGATGGACGAAGGACAAAGCGCCGCCACTGGTCACAATATGCCAGACCGCCAGAAAGCCATCAAGTAAACATCAGAGCTATTGTGGATCATCTATTGCAACGCTCGAGGGGATCACACGAAAGAACACCATTCAAGACCCATAACATCCGATTCTCATGTACATTTCCCACATAAAACGCTCGCCAACAAAGCCGGGGACGACAACCGAAAAAAGAAGTTCTAGCTACCCAAACAAGCAAACAAGAGTTACTCTAGATGGCCGGATTGGATAATACCCAAATCTCGTATGATCTAAATCCAGAAAGAAATGGGAGGGGAAATCTAAGGCAAGCACAACTGGCGGCGTCTGAAACAAGAGACAGTTTTTTTAGAAGATAGGGAGAGAGGAATACAAGCAATGCAACTGTGTTCCGCTATGCTGCCTTCTATCGGGGTATTTAGGTGCATATGCGTATTTCCCATAAAGACGATGACAGACGTGAGATCAGACAAGAAAAAAAAAATAAAGAAAAATGGGTAGATGTTACTTTTTTCCCTCCTCGCTCGGTATCCCTCCGGGTATAGTTGAGGTGCCCCCTCAAAAAGTTGCGAGATTCGCACCTGCTGACTTTAGCCAACAGCACAGAGCAGGGCATCTAGACTTTAGCTGGCAGAGTGAGCCTTTCAATCACCCTCTTGAAATGCCGTTGGCTCGCCACAATGATAAGAAGATCATCCGTAAGCGTCGGCTAGACGCCGTGGTGTCTTCATTTCGAAGCAGCAGCAACTTTCATCGCGGCAGGAACAGTTCCCTTGGCCTCGGCTGAGAGAGTAATAAGCTCCTCAAGCATCTTCTCACGAGTCTTTGTCGCCAAGTCCTCGACATCAGCAGACGTAAGACCCTTAGTCGGGATAGGCGCCAAAACTAACATCAGGTGTCAGTAAGATGTGTGTTTCAACAACGATATAGCGGAAAGTGTACCTTTGACGGGAATCTTGCCAGACCTGAAAACAAGTCCCTTGATCGAAAAAATGTGACTGTAGTTAGCCACAACACAGGGCACAATGGGGGCCCCTGCCTCGACGGCGAGGTGGAAAGCGCCCTTCTTGAAAGGAAGCAGCATAGGTTCGCTACTATAACTCCTCGTGCCCTCGGGGAAAACGTAAACACTCTGATTCCTCCTAGCGATCTCCTGACCGGCACCCTTCAAGGCCTGCCTGGCATCCTTTGCATTTCCCCGGTCGATGAAGATGGTCTTGCTAAGGGCCATGAACCAGCCGAGGAAAGGAATCTTCTTCAAGGACGCCTTGGCCGTCACGGTGCAGTTGCGCGGGAACATGCACCCGAGCATCAGCACGTCGAGCTCGGTCTGGTGGTTTCCGACCACGACGGCCGGGCGGGTGTTATCCAGCACTCCGTGCGGGTCGATGATTTCAAAGGTGACGCCGGTAGTCAGGTACATGGCGTACTTGAAAACGCGGCCGGCAGCCCACTGCGAGCTCCCAGCGATACCGAAGAGGCGGAAGACGATGCATATGAGGAGACCCATGCACGAGGCGATCAGCAAGCAGAGATAGCCGGTGAGAGCGCGGGCCACGAAGGCCGCTTTAGGCACGACGAAGGATACCATGTAGAGAGCGGCGACGAGCACGGCAGCACCGAGCCAGAAGGTGGTGAGGTAGGAGACGAGGCGGTCCCACATTTTGAAGTGAGTTGGCTGGCGGTATAAAAGTGGGAGGCGGTGAGAGGGAGGGGAGATAAGAATTATAAAAAGTAAAGAGGACTAATAAAAAGGGATTATACGCTAACAAGAGACGTATAAGAATATAAAAGGCCGGGCGCCAAACACTATCTCGATTGAGGGTGAAGGCGGATCTAAGAGAGCCAAGGCTACCTGGCTGCGCATCTGCCGTGAAGAAAGTTTGGCAGTAAGAGCTGCAGCAACCCTAGCCGCCCTTTTGCCAGACTAGACTGCAGGCTAATACTTGGAAGATGCTGCGAGGAAGGTTTTTGCGCAAGGCTACTACTACTGAATGGAATAAACCTCGAGATGATGAGTGAGAGGGAAAAATTCCGAGTGGTTCTAGTCAGGGCAACAGGGTCTTGAAGGCGGGCGAAAGAGGCAGGCGGCGAGAGCGGAGCGAGATTTTAAGTTTCTGGCTGGGTGGACCGAGGCCTGAGGCTTGTGATAATCTGGAAAGCTTGAGGAGTGCACGCTAATCGCAAAAATTACACTCCAACTCCAATGGACGTGAGTCGTGCAAATGGGTGCAAATAGACGCAAAACTGGTCAGGCGCGAGTGGATGGAGGGATCAATTGATGACCTCACGGCAAAGGCAGGTGCAATTGATTGATTTCGGAGGCCGACTGGTTCTGTTGAGACACCACATTTTCAGTGTACTTCGGAGACAATGGACAGACAATGGATGGACACTCGCAGTTGTGGGGGCGCAGTTGGAGCCTTGGAACGGCACTAAAATTTCTGTCCTCGAGCTCCGAGTTCCTTCTAAAAGTTACTCAAAGAATATAGACTTCAGGTGCTCATACAGAGAGCTCTTTGGGGCAATTGGAGTGTCAACTGTTGTTAAAAATAGATGCTACTCGTCGATTTCATCAAGTTGACTCGATACATATAAATCATTCCACTCCCAGAGAAACATCCACAATCGCAACAAGCGTCAAGATGGAGATTCCATTGAGGGACCAAGCAGCGCATCGTCATCTTCACATGCGAAATGTGTCCAGGGTTGAGCGCGGTACCCAAAGAGAGATGAGAAGTACCGTGGGGTTGTGGAGAATTTGCTCCCACAGTTGCAACGCAAGAAAAAAAAAATGTTGGGGTATTAATAAACTGCGAAGTGTTTGGTACCTTGTACAATTGATTTGATGCTTCCGCGATCACGGAATACAAAGTACCGCGGCGACTTGAGTGACGGGAAGGGGTTTCATTGCAGCCACTCCTGGAAGCCAACCCGACATTGGAATTCGTTGCACAAATTTAGGAACGACCGCTCTGCGCACCCATGAGAGTCAAGGTCTTTGTCTAATAAGCAACACTCGAAACGTTGTAGCCTGAAAATGGGAATGAAACGGATTAAAAATTTGATGTTGAGAGTTCAAGGGGGCGAGGAAACTATGAGCAGAAGCGTTGAAGTCGATTCAATCCGAGGTTTAGCAGATTGGTCACCTAACAGGTTTACTAGCCAACAACATCTGATGCCTTACCCAAGCCACGCCGACACGCCCACGCCTTATCATTGCAAGTCCCCGGTGCCCACGGTGGAAGTGCGCGGATTCGACTGGCTCCCTTAATCGGGAACAATGACGCAGTGGGCCATACGAAGTTTAGACGGAAACATGTTGTTCCAATGCTGGGAAGCCAGGAAGGTTCATTTCTTATTTCTTATTTCTCCTCCTCCGGATACGAGTCAAACGCGTTCGACAATTTCCTCATCATCAGCTCAAGTTATCATAGTTCTCAGAAGCCCAGTATCGCATTCCTTTCTAGTCTGTTATTTGATTGTTTAATACATTCCTTTCGCCATCACGTTTTATGCCGTATGACTCGGGCCCTGAAGTCATTCCCGCTTAATTATCTGAGGTAGCGTCTTCCAGAGACACTTACACGCAAGGGACTTCTATTGTGTGCTTCGCCATTTTTTCCCATCCGATGTCTGTCAGTCCTTGCTGGCGTTCTACGACAGCTTCTTAAGAAATGTTCCACACCATTTACCACCTTCATTCTTTATATATATATCTATCTAATATGTACGTGATGTGTGGGCAAGCTGCACTTACCCGCTTCACCACTCATACCGAGTATACCAGCGAAGGCCCTCCTATGGCGGAATACTTCACTTTTCAAGCACTTCGGGAACTTCTCGTAGGCGGGAGAGATGTTTGTATATGCTTGTAAACCGAGACTTCGACTTGAGGAAGAAACAGAGTACTTCTTCCGCCAAGCTCGGCCTGACTTCTTCTTAAATACTAAACTGTCTTCCCAGGATCTTCCCTTAAGAGATCTCCCAGACTACTCTCCATGTTTAACCTTGGATCCATCCCTTCTTTCCTCTGGCCTGCGGGGCTGTTCCGGCTTACTGGAGAACTCCCGTTTCCCGGCTCAGTGGTTCTTCTTTTCGCTCCAAATGTCAGCCCCCAGGTCTCTCCTATGCGTCTCCTCACAGCTACAGTCCTCAGGCGACGTGAGTTAGATATACCCTGTGTCAACGGCGGCATCTACCAGAGCATAGCTGCGAAGAAGTTCCCGAAGCAGAAAGATGATCACTTCAAGGTTGAGTCTTCGTCTTTATAGCCCCACACTCGAATAGTACAAATTGGACATCCGTTTTCCTCCTTGCTGTCGACATAAATTTGTTGCACATGATTTCGAGAATCCTCCCGCTTAAACGATCGCGCTTTGCTTGGCGGGCCGTACGCTGGAAATCCCCGTTGAAGCGTATCGTAGTGGATGTGCCTGTCGACGGTGGCGGCCACATTGTCGCTATATTCCTTCCTCTCAAAGATTGGGCCGCAGGGTTGGTAGCGAAAGAATGGACGACAACTGTTGTGGATCGTGGGCTTAGCCCCGGTGACGGAAGCGCAGCCGAAATAAATTGGAATTACCCTAGAGAAGGGCTACGAAGTACTTCGTGTCGCACAGCCGATTCCGCAGTGGGCTTTTCTCGTTCCGGTTTTCAGCGTCGGTATTTTCAGCACACTGATCTGATTGATAAGATTGATAACTTCGTTTGGGCATGATCCCCGGTCGTCAGGTGTGAGCGGATTGGACGGCCTGAGATGTCGGTGCTGGCTAGCTCGATTCGCGACGGGTGACCCCCTGCATTAGGACGATTATTGATCCTCATCGGTCCCAAGGCTTCTTTCATCGAAAGATGGCAGTTCACCGTTGAAGTTTCGTCCTCCGCCAAAGAAATACTGACACCGGTGAAGAGCTGTAGGAAATAATAAGTGTCGTTAATAGGAAAACTCGCGATGCCTTGTTGACTCGAGCCCCATCCCCGGCCCTCACTCATGAGTCTTGTGTCGCAGGGACCGGAGAAGATATCGGCATGGAGTGAGTCCAGCCAAATCCCAGTCAGTCCTGGCCTTGGGGGAGTGATGGCACGCAGCAGGATGGCGCACACTAGACGGGGATAGATGGATTGGTGGCCTCGTACGAAGCAGTCAAGCACACACTATTGAAAAGAGGAAATGAGATGATCATTTCCGTCGGCCGCCGGGAGCACACCTCGTACGGTTGCCAGGAATTATATCAATTCCTCATCTGCCGCCGTCTTACTGCTGTGATCTTTCTCACCACACGCATACCCACGGTTCCGTTGAAAACAAGTCGTTCGTTACCCAGCCGCTCGTTCAAATCAGTCTTGTCTTACACTGGCCTCTCCTTCAACACCACACCATCTACTTCGTAATCTCTTGGGCTTTAATACGGCATTTAGATCCAAGGAACAATGAAGGCTACCACCTCCATAGCCATGGCTGTCGCTGGCCTCGTCGGCATCGCCTCCGGTCAAGCTTACATCCCCAACTGCGCTGTATGCCCCCAGCCAATTCGGTCTCGTCCTTTTTGTGGCACCTCAGAAGGAACATTAAGTATACTGACTCGCTCTACTCAGGTTCCCGTCCTTGACAAAATCATCGCTGAATATGTCCAGACCTGTACCGAGGCCTACAACTACATCTGCTTCTGCAAGAACCCAGTTGCCCCGTGGTACTACACCCAGTACGCCGTTACCGACTGCCCTAACGAGACCGACTCTGACGCCGCCGTCGGCTTCATCACTACCTTCTGCAAAGGTGAGTTAGATGCTTCCCTGGCGCTCTCCGTATTTGAGCTTTCATTAAGAACGTGTTAACCACTTTGTGCTCTTGCAGACATTGGGTATCCCATCACCTTCCCAATCCCCGATCCTGTGAGTAGTGATTTTCTCTCCCTTCGCCCACACCTGGCAGCTCTCTTCTCAAAACGTTTAACACATTTTACCCTAGAACGCCGGCGGCACCACCACCACCGAGCCTACTGTCGAGCCAACCGCCGAGCCTACCGAGCCGCCTGCGTCATCTACCTCAGATCCTGAGCCCACCGAGCAACACACCGAACCACCTGCATCGTCTACTTCTGATCCCAATCCCACTGAGCAACCCACCGAGGAACCCAGTGGCACCACTGATTCTTCTAGCACTCCTGGGCCCTCCGGCACTGACGCCACCAGCAGTGAGCCCACCACCATCGTCACTTCTACCCGTGCCCCTACCTCTAGCCCCACCTGTACTGCTACTCAGACTGGCGGCAGTGGCGGTGGGGATTGCACTTGTGACGATGACGGGCGGCCCAGCAGCGGTTCTGCCACGGGCACTGGCAAGCCCCAGCCCTCTGCTCCTGTCATCGTCAATGCGGTAAGGACCTCCTGTCTTCTATCCCAGGGTTAGCCAACCTTGTAGTGTTAACTGTAAATAGGGCATCAACAATATCAACAACTACCCCTACTCTCTGGGCCTTGCTGGCGTTTTTGTTGCCGCTGCTGGGCTCTTCTAAATCAAATCATCGACTGTTGGTGGCTGTTGTGTGATTATTGGAATGACGGTTTGGCGTTCCATGGGAATATGGGAATGAGAGCTGATGGATCGTAGTAAAGCGTGGCTGGAATTTGATACTATGTTCTCTGTTCTCTGGTCTACTTGGTTTAATACGTAGTAGCTACTACGGGGTTTTCAGTGCTTCATTGCTCGTGGCAAACTATTACCCACAGCTAAGCGCGGAGCGGTTCTCCTTCCGTGGCTTTGGCCCATCCCAAGATCTGATCAATATCCACTCTATTTCTCACGAGTCCTCCATGATGAATTTCGAGAGGGGCTTTCTTCAACGCCAACGACATCGCTCCTCAACTTTGTTCCAGTAATGGCTCATCTCGGCTTCGGCCTAGGGATTTTCAAAGGGACGGCGGCTCCCCGCGCAAACCTAAGACGTCTTGATTCGCACTCTTGCTGATACTGCTGTCTCTGGGCCGCACTCTGAGACAAAAAGCGCGTGGGATTTTGGTTGGGGCAAGAGGCCCGCTTTCGGGATCCGTCCATGTCTTCCCTGGGCGAACTGGCACAAGGAGAGGAAGAATGATCACTTCCTGAATCAAGTTTGCCGTCAAGGCGAAGAATATGAACTCACCCGTCACTTCGGTCCCTTACTTCATCAGTGGTGTACTTCGGGCCGTTGTGTATCCTCTCCGATTCTCTCGGTCATACCCAACTTGGGCCATGAGCCGGGCCTGTGGAACAGAACAGTTCGCTTACAACTCCAAATAATGGTGGGGAGATCATGAACCTGTAAAAGTAGCATTAGCTCGGGGTCTGAACCTCGAAGTCCTCGCGGTATCTCCCCTGTCAAGGAAATAGGATGGAACATAAACTCGTCGACAGTCAAGCGTCCTAATCAGGCTCTGTCACTCATTAGTGTTGACATCTTGTGGGACACTCCAAAGTCGTGAAGAAGATTCTATTAACCTAAAACGCCACTCTTCGTACCCTTGCCCGTTTTTGGGGTGTTTTTCTCTTCAAACTCGTAGAAAAAAGAGGATGAAAGAAGAGAACTAAGAAAAAAGAAAAAGGGGAAAAAAAAAAGAAGAAGGCGATGAGACTACTACTACACGTTGCTGCGCCCACGCCTTCCCGAGGACCGCAGCCGAATCGAACGCTGATACACATGCCGGAGACCCCCGTTTGATGACTATAATAGAAAAAAGAAAAGGACGCCTTTTTGCTTCCCACCCAGAGTACACAATTGGATTCTTACGACTCGTCCTCGGTGTCAGTGTTGGTATCGCTGGTATCGTCGTCCTCCTCGTCGTCCGTGCCGCTCTCATCGTCGGACTCAGACTCCGCCTTCTTCTTGCCGCTCGATACAGGTTGCCCCCTGAGGGCGTTCATCTGGCCAGCAATGGAATCTACGACGGGTTGTTAGCTTTCAATTCCGGCTTTGTAGTAAACGTAATTTCTTTTCCTCCGTGGATAACGTACCTTCTTCCGGCTCGCTGATCTCATCCTCTGCTACCATCTCCGCCGCCTTGCTTGCATCCTCGACAACAAGCGTGACCTCTATCTTCGTATCAAGACCGACGTAGCTATCGCAGATAAGGTGCATGGCAAAGGTGTAGTGTCCCGGCTGAGGAGGCGCCGCGAACTGCGCCTTGAGCGTCTGCATATTAAAGGTAGGCTTGCCCGCATCATCGAAGATGGGTTCGTCGAACTGAGAAAACAGGAAAGGCGGTACGGCAATTCTGCCTGATTTGGCATCCGTCAAGAAGACGTACCACTTGGGAGAATAGTCCCGCGCAAAGTAGGGCGCAGTCGCAAGGTTGGGGTTGATCTTCTTATCCTCGACCACCCTCCATTTGCCGTCGGCTCCCTTGACCTTCTTCTTGCGGCCGGTGATAGCCTCGAGATCGTCTTCTGCCGGGTCTACGTCCTCGAGATCTAACGGGTTGACCTGAGGAATCTTCTCGCTACCAGGGGGGATTATGCGGCCCTTCACTACCAAGCTAACAAGCGAAGAAGGCGTAATAAACCGCTCGCCAGGTACCTTAAAGAACGCCTTCGCCACTCGGAGATAGGGCATCTCTCGCGCGACATCCATCGCCGTAGTGTACTGTTGTTCCGTCAGGAGACCCTTTCCGACGACGAGTTGCCGGCGCTGGTTATCAGGCAGGTCCATGAACTGCTGGACAGTGGAGTGCACCTTGCTATCGCCATCAACGGCCTTGACAACTTCGGGCGTGAAGAAAGGGAGTTGGAAGAGAGGAGAGGACTTGGGGATCATGGCCTGGATAATATGTTGGTTGGCGAGGTATGACCCCACGATAGGGGCAGTATTGCCATAAGCGAGAGAGATGGTGGTAAATGATCGAATGAGACTCTGGGCAATCGGGCCAACCTGGATCTTAGCGCGGTTTAGAGCGTCGCTGCCGAGATCGATTCGGCCCAAATACGCCCAAAGAAGAGCAAGCGCCTTCCTTCTGACGGAGTCGTCGAGCTCTTCCAACTTCGCCTTCTCCTTGGCTGGGATGACGTTGGAAATCTTGGATTCGAGGGAGGCGAGATCTTTGTCGGCCTTATCCGCGCGGAGAAGATCTTTGTATTCCTTAGCCGTGCTCAAGGCAGAGACGATACCGCTCTCATCCAGGTCGTCCTTATACTCCCGGAAGAGGTTATTGGCGCTCTCCATAAGGACGCCTTCTTTCGACACCCTTTGAGTGCCGTACCACCAGCTACCAACAAGATATGGCAAAAGGACACCGAGGAGAAGGGCATAGAGGAGGACAACGTATTTGCCGTTGCCGTCGGTTACGATGAACTTCGGTAGAGCGATGCCGATGCTGAAGCTCTGCTTGCCGTCGGGGTGACCATACTGGATGTAGTTGTTGCGCACTTCCTCATCGGTGAGAGCTTGGTAGGCCTTGGTGATTTCGACATATCTCGCGTTTAGGATCTCGATGGTCTCGTTTTTGGACACATCCGGCTTGAGCTTGTCGGGATGGAATTTGAGGGAAAGTTTTCGGTACTTGGACTTGATTTCTTTTTCTGAGGAAGACTGTTGTATGTGTTAGCGATATCTCAATGAAAATTGACTGGGTGCGCCTATGCGCAAAGGCGACAGGTCTGGGAGAAATCGTACGTCGGGAATGCCAAGAATGTCGTATGGGTTCCAGAGCTTGGGCGTCACCCTCTTTGTGATAATGATGAGATACACCATCAGGCCAATCACCGCCCATCCGGCGAGGACGAATATGGCTCGTTTTACTTTGCGCAGCCTGCGTCTTTGCGCCGTGCGCTGACTCTGCACTTCGGCGTTCCCATGCTTGGCTTCGTAGGCGCCCGAAGCCTTTCCGCGATGTGCTGCGGCACCAGCATCTTTCGACGGAGAAAGAAGGCTCCACGTAAGAGGGACGGTAACGAGGGATGTTAAAGTGAGGATGAAGAAGGGGAAGAATTGCCCCTAAATCAGCGGATTGTTAGCACGCACAAGCCAGGAGGAAGCAAACCTGGAAGAAGCGAAAGACAAGCTGTTGGCCGGGCCTGAGAGTGGGCGGCGATAATATTGAACATACCTCTTCGTCGTAGGAGTACTCTGAGCTCATTTTGAAAACCCAGAAAAGCCCCGGAGACGGTTTAGGAGCTGGAAAGAGAAAACGAGGAAAACTGATGGTGGAGTGGCATAAATACAGATTTGTATTATCACCAGTCCCTGAAACTTAACCTTAGAAGTTGCTGTGTTGTAGTAGCCACGCAGCACTTTCCTTAGTGGTAATCTGTCATCAGCTTGTTTAGGCCTCAAGAACTAGGCGAACTTTTTCTCGCTATTTCCAAAGTACTGGGTTATGTAAGGAAACATGTGTAACGGCAACTTTGTCTTAGTCCAAGCTGAAAGTGGGTCTGAAACAAGTTGGTCCAGAACTTTGAGCTTTGGTGGGTAGAAAGCGGGACAACGCCCGTGTCAGTGGGATTGAAGGGTGTTAGTCAGCTCATTGCGACGCTCCAACTGTCGCTGATGAGCCGACTTCATTGCTCCCCATCAAGGGGCATCGAGATATTACCCGCTGGAGTATTCCATTGTAGCCGGGGGTTCATTGAACGAGCTAGTCCTCATTTGCGACCTCGACTACCTCAAAGCTTTGAGAAACTCGCCTTTCTTCTGTAATTATATTTGTACTTGCTGGCTTTTGCCAGCTACTCGCATCGCGACGCGAAAGCTTGCCCACGACTCTTTGCCTGCCTCTCGTCATTGTGGAGAGTTGCCAACATGGCACGCACGACGACTGGCACCTCGGCCCACACCTCGGCGCATACTTCCAACTCTCTCCTCGATCTACCGCCGATTTCAGCCCTGTTCTTGATTGATTTCGATGTGAAAGCCGGTTATACAATTGCGTGGAAAAGATCGATTCCGGGCCTTGAGCTCGAAGGAGTGGTGGAATACAAAAGCCTACCGTCGGGCCTTCACAGCGTCAAGGATGATTTGATATACTTCATTCACGAGGCAGGTCATGCCGGAGTTAGCGCCTTTATCAATGTGCCATGCGATGAGGAGGAAGCTCGCCATGCTCGTATGATTGCTGTCGGCGTGCTTGTCCCTTTAAGCTTTGGCAGGCTTGGGAGAGCATGGCGGCATGCAGAGGCGCTGAAGGATATGGCTGCGTAAGTAACTTCTTACTGTATCTCATCATACGCGCGATGGGTATACTAACCATCTATCTATTCTGGCTGCAGTAAGCTCGCCGTTGACCGGAAACGAACAACCATCCTCGAAGCATACTGGGAAAGGTGCAAATCGAGCGCCGATACTAAAGCACCGACACACAGGACAGATGAGACCCCGATAACATCTCCTACCGTGCCGCTACATAGCATTCCCTCGAACCGAAGCAAGGGACACTCGAGAAATCGATCAGCCTCTGATGGCGTCATCTTCCAACCCGACCATACGCTCTCTAAATACCACCCGGCCCGCAGTTTGACCGCTCTACTCGACGCTTTCGGGCCTCTCATCTTCCCAATTCATCGTGCAGCGATGCTCCGTAAACGGATATTGATTTCATGCCACGCGCCTGTGCATGAAGTCTGTAATTTCGGTATGTTGATACGAGGAGCCCATCATTCGATGTGAATGTGACTAACAAGATTTAAGTATATGGCCTATCCATACTCTCAAATATACCCCAGTCCTTTGCCAACTTCTTACCAGAACAGGCGCCTACACATCGGTTGCGACCGCTATTCACGATTGGAGTTCACGATATCCCCTCTTTAGTGGCTTCAACTGCGCGACAACGGCAACAGCCAGGCGAAGGTGACGATGATGCTACTCTCAGAGAAGATGATGGATCTTCTGGGTGGATAGCATGCACCACAGATAGCATACTGGCGATGAAGGAAACACTCTGGGACGTCCTTATCACGATGCCGCCGCCATTCTCTGCCAATGCACAAACCAAAGTATGGCCTACTGTGGAATGTCCTGGTAAGAAACCCGTCAAGGCTACACAGCGTGATTTGCGACGTTTCCGGGCGCTCAAGGCCGGTTTGGCTCGACTCGGAGCTGTTGCAAGGCCGATTAGTTCTCATGGCACAACTCAATCACAAGCATCACTCGACATCCGCCCATCGACTAGCGGCACTACGGTGGTCGAGGATGAGTGCGATGAGGCGCTCGATAAGATTGTTCAGCCACCGACCTGGGCTGAACTTGCTTATGGAGGTTTCATGTGGTGGGCTAGCGCCGGTGAGCAGCATCGTAGTTATGAACACGACGAGGCAGTCCACGATGCCTCCCTTCTCGCGGACTGGGCTCCACTGCCGGCAACAGGATCAATAGCCAACCTCCAGTCACCTGGTATCTTGCAAGATCCGATGACTGCCTCCATACCCTCTCTTAACCAAGGGCGAGAAGACACGCACGAGGACGGCGGAGCCCGGGTTGAATTGGCAGTCATTGCCTTCTTCCACCGTTTAACAATAGATATCCTCACCGTCATCGGGGACGCAGTGGAAGCCGATGACACGCCATACACGGACGATGATTCAGACAACGGTGATGCGGAGGCGCTTCTCTTGGCGCGAGATGAAGATGAGGAGAGTCGGCCTGTGAGAATCGATAGTACGGCATTTGAGCTCATGGGTCTTGACGTTTGGAACCCATCGGACGCCGAGTTTATACAGGAGATTGCTCGTGTTTACTTTGACAGATCTGTGCGCGTTGAAGGGAAGGGAATCGAAGTCTGCGGGCTAAGGGTGTGCTAGTTGTCCTGTACGTTGGCGCATGGCGTTTTTCATTCCTGGTTTTTTTTTGGTGGAATATTATTCCTACTTTTCCCTCTGTCGGACCAACGTGTACATATATACGGGTATATCTTGTTGCACCACATAATGCATAACAGCGGATGCTTAGCAGCTAGGGCGTTTGGTACTAGTGCAGCCGCAGAGAAACCCCCTTCGTCAGCATAATGGTAGTTGAGGTCTTATCACATGGTCCGTTTCCTTCTTGCTGGACACCATTACCTCGAACATGGTTCGGCATTAGCTGCCCGAATATTCTTCTGTCCCATGGATGACATCTGATTAATGCTTGCCCAAGCTTGGTTCTTACACTGGTCTGGATCAGGCAGACTGGGACATTAGCGTACGAAGTAGATCAAAGAGGTGTGGGCCTGTGTTGATATGATCTGATGCGACGCGTTTCCCCAACGCGTCGACTTTCGAATCACTTCCAGACCAAGAGCACATCAGTTTACGGAGTAGGCTACTCAATGCGGGATGCATCGGTTATGCGGTGCGCTCAGAGGCTCCTTGGTGACCTACATCTGAACTGGTGGAGAAACACTTGGATCAATGTGAGCTGCGACATTGTTTGGCAGCAACCAGACGCGTGAAATTTTTTTCTTTTTCAAATTGCGTGTAATGTACCTCAGTAATTGAGTCAAATATTGAACCTTGCCATCAAGAGATTGATGGATTTATTCCTTGCCCGCTCTCATCAACTCCCTAGGAATCGTCTGGAGTATATTGGTACTAAAGCAGGAACCACTAAACGTTGAGGCCTCATTGGGCGTTGAATTTGGGAGGTGATGACGGAAAGAATAGGGGGTGGTTTTGTCATCGGTCCAGTGCTCAGGGACTTCACCCCACTAAAATACCCGCTACAAGGGAGGCGCAGCCTCTGAGTGGACAGCGGCATGGGGGACCCGGAAAGCTAGGGACTTCCGGAGCGCAGTTCGAGCCTGGCTGGTCCTACAAATGCGGGTGCAATATGAGCAATTGCGCTCAGCCCGGAATTCGTCAGGATTCTTCGTGTTTGCTTGGGTCATTGCCTGCAGATAATATCAAGGTACTTCGTACTTCGTACAAGGGGAACTGGGAACCGATCCAGGCTCGTACCAGGGAACAGAAACAAAGTCATGGCACTGAGACCAAAATCGGCTTCTGACCACACCATTAATTTCTCCCATCAACTTTTCCTATCCTCGAGTTCCACGGCCTGGTTACCGGTTCAGCGAGGAGAAATCGAGAATTAACGCGGCAAGACGATTCTCAAATCTCAATCCACTCATTTGGACCACTGTCGCTCCTTCCTTCCGACCCGGCAACTTGTTCCAACACGTTATATTGTTTGACCCACGCCCACGCCAACGCTCACTCCCCACTGCGCCTTCCGTCCAGGCTCTCTGGAGAAAATATCGTCCTCCCACCGAGGGACTCGCCTCAAGGATAGTTTCTTGTGCGCTCTCTAAGTGATGTACCCAGTTTCTCGCAGCTTATACCTCGATTCGACTGTCTAGAGAATATCGACACGACAATGTCCGACGACGTCTCGCAGTTTTTGCAGCAAGTCCAGCAGCTGCAAGGTCGCCGTGTCGAGGAGGACGAGGCCAGGTCAAGAGAACTGGAGGAGAAGATACTCCAGGAGAAGAGTGAACGCGCCGCTCGACGAGCTGGTAAGTAACTGTGGAGACAGAGAATGGTGATACCCTCCCCCGGTTTGCCTCGGACTGTTGTTTGTTTGTAGGAGCTCTTCGTGCTTGGTGAATTTGTGTGTCAATGTGTTGGACCGTACTCCATACAACTGACTAGTCGGCTCCATCACAACTTTTTTTCTTTTCTGTTCTAGAAGCTAAAACAAAAACACTTGAACTCCCTCACCCACAACACTTATTTGTTTTGCATTTTGGTGGTACAAATACCCACCGCGATAAATGAATTGACGCTAAAGATTCATGCAGAGCGCGCCAGGTCCATTTCACCCCAAAAGTCGTCTCCGGCAAACACGCCTCCTCCTCCTTCCCATCGAGCCTCCGGTGTTTCTGATCGCCTCAGTCTGACGTCTTCGCCCGTTCTTGAAAGCGCGAGATCGCGCCGAGATGATACCTTCGACAACATGGAGAGCCCTGTGACCAATTTCTCAACCTCTCCCACGAAGGAGAACGAGTCGACTTTCGACATTGAGTCCAAGCGAACGAGTGTGACATCCTCGGGCACCATACCTTCGCCTGGAATCAGGACTGCGCCGTTGTCGTGGCAGAGGCGTCCAAACTCACAGTCCTTTGACAAGACAAAGTCTAGGCCTCTGTCCATGCTGGCAGCCGAGAATGCCGCCCGCACATCCACAACAGCCTCCCCGGAGCCTTCATCGACCACGGAGCAGTCCTTCACCAAGGACCAGATCGCGCAGGCACTGTCTGCAAAGGACCCCACTTGGTTCCGCCAGACCTCAGACCGTGGATTGAATTCCCCCGCCTTCCGTCGCACTCAAGTCGAGGATGAGGATCGTCTAGACATGTCGTCGATGCGATCCCAGTTACCTGGCATGACGCCGCCCACCTCATCGCGGGAAAGTCCTATTTCCAATCCTGCCCCGCTGCAACCCAGTAAATCAGCCCCGCATTTGGACTTGACACCGACTCAGCGATTTGAACCTGGCGGTCAATCGCCCGCTGATTCGGAGGATCGTGGCGGCGTCGACGAGGCATCCCCGACGCGGGCAGAGGGTCGTAGGTCACCCACACGACCACGCTCTCCAACCAAGGGGATGGGAGGGTTTGTTCAAAGCGCTATGATGAAAAGAACAGATAGTGTGAAGAGATGGAGTGTCGCATCACCCCCGGGCTTGGCGCGCGCGGACTCTGTGGCATCCAATCGAAATAGTGTCATAGGTAGAGTAGGGGTGGGCTCTCAGCCTAATTCACGTTCGCGTCCTGCCAGCATGATCCGCGACGGATCAGCGACTCCCACCCCACGTCCGACCAGCCGGCACGGCTCCGAAGAATTAGGGGACGAGCCGGCAACCACCGGCAGTCATGGCGTCGCAGATCCAACCCCTGACACAAAATCTAATCTCACTTTAACCACCACCCCGCTCGACCAGGACGAAAAGACAACTCCTCCTGCAAGTCCGACAAAAACCATGGACACTCGCAGATGGAGCCCTACAAAATCAAGTTGGCTTGAGGCAGCCCTCAACAAGCCAGAATCGCCCAAACCGAAGCCCGCGGCGCCCCCCTCGAACCAGCCCGCCTGGATGGTCGAGCTGAACAAGGCCAGGGCTCAGAAAGCGAACAATCCAGACGCCGCAATCAACAAGTTGAACCCGGCGTCGCACAAGCACGAGGTCAAAATTGATGGCCTCCTACGATCATCGCCAGCCACCTCAGCAACGAAATCCAATCCGCCGGCCGTCGCTGCGCCTTTTTCTCCTGCCAATCTGCGAAGCACTCTTAATACTCCGTCCACCGTCTCCAAGTCCACTGTCGGCTCTGAGACGCCTGCTGGTCCTGGTGATTCCGCAAGCAAGCCCAGCACACCTACCCCTATCGACTTTAGGTCGCAATTAAAGCCACGGCAGACCCCCTCGGCGTTCGAATCGCCAAAGGGAGGTAATGTTAACGAGCTTAAGAACGTCTTCGGAAATTTGCGAAAGACGAAAACCCAGAACTACGTGGCTCCCGACGAACTGAAGGATAACATCCTGCGAGGCAAAGCCGCTCTTAACCTGACCGGCGGCCCGAAGAAGTCGGAGCGAAAAGACGAGTTCAAAGAAGCCATTCTTAAGAAGAAGGAAGACTTCAAAAAGGCTCAACTTGAAGGAACCGGCGTTACTCCCCGCGCTCCGGGTACATCGACGACCGAGCAGCCACTGCCCGAAGGCCTAGCCAAGCGGAACCAGCTAGCTAGGTCTTCCACTCTATCTAATCGAGATTCGGTATCGTCGGACACCACGAAAGCCGCCTCTTCTGTACTATCTAATCGCAATTCTTTTGCTACAGATATAACAAGCGTCGAGGCACCGACTCCCTCCCCCTCCTCCCTCAAAACGAGCCACACACCAACGAGAGAAACGACAAAATTCGAAACAACAACACCTAAGGCTGAAAACCTCCCACAATCACCAGTCTCCCAGCCAGCGTCAGCCCAGAAGGAATTCACAACTCCGTCGCGCCTATCCACTCGAGCCGGCGGCAGTTCTCTAGCAGAGAGATTCAATCCCGCTCTCGCTGGAATTCTTGCGCGTGGGCCACCCACCGTTACTGCTCCTGGCAGCACCAGGTCCTCGGACAGCCCCAGCGCCTCGGGACAACAGAGTTCTAGCGCAGGTCCTTCCTCGTCCGACGCTGCCGGACCAGGGCCGCAACTTACGCACATCACTAAGAACCGTGCTAGAGGCCCGCGACGTAAGGCCCCAAGCTCGGCGGCACCAGCCGTGTCTACTAGTCCTGCAACCACCGCGACACAAACCAGCAGCGCTTCTCCAGCAGCTACCCTCCCTACCACCAATCCTGGCCCCACAACCTCTGCGTCTGGTCAAGTTAAGTCGTCGACAATGGCGACCTCGATCACGGAGATGGCGGCGCCCGCGTCAATGGGCACATCAGACCAGATCCAATTGGCAGATTCCTCTAAGGCCATCGCCGCCGGCCAGGTCCAGCTTGTCGATTCGTCAATCATGTCTCCATCCTATGGCAGCCAGTCATATCAGTCATACACTCGGCGGAGAGAAACTGAGAGCAGCACCGTCTCTTCACCGGGCCAGATCAAACTCGTCGACTCCTCAGCCATGAGAGAGGCATACGCAGCGGCAACCCCTACGAGAGAGAGTCGGGGCTCGTACTCGGGACAGTCCTTCGGGAGCGCTACTCCGATCCGGGACAGTCGTGGGTCGTACTCGAGCTTCTCATCACTGAAAGGTGCCTTGGCATCTCAGGTTGCAGGGGCCGCCGTGCAGAGGAGCAGTCCCTTGACCTCGAACGCCACGATTGCCGAAACCAGCCAAAAGCCCACGGAGGAACCGAAGTCACAACCTCCGTCTCCGAGAAAGCTCGATATGAAGAGAATGTCCAAGTTCCTAGATGATGCGGACCAACCAAGCCCGAAAACTACAGTGCCTCCCTTGTCGGAAAACCCATTGAGGTCACCTCGACGAATGTCGAGGCCCCCTTCGCCTAACAAGCTTCCTGAGCAACAACCGCTGCCACAGCCTGCATCTTCTTCGACCACTCCAAGTTCTCCCGCAAAACCTCTACCTCATCCGCCCTCACCCACCAAGGAGACGCCTGCTCCTCTTCAAAGGATGCCTACTGGAGGACCTAGCAGGTTCGTGATGGGTGTAGCGGCGATGTTTGGAGGCGGCTCTGCATCTGCCCCGCTAGCCAAGGAGTCTGTGCCGGCCCCGAACGGACAGGAAGCGCGGCGATCTCGATCCCAATCACCCACTAAAGTTGGTGATCGACCGCCCCCTCTCAGCCCCCGTGCTAAGTCCCGATCTCGGGTGTCTTCGCCCATGCGTTCGCCTACGAAGCAGGCCATAGAGACCGCCGCGCTTCTCAGCGACTTTTTCGGACCCCAACGCCCTAAGAGAGAGTATCGAGCTGACGCTGCCGAGATTCTGATGCGCCGACCGCCAACTGGACAGGGCATCAAGACCCTATCAAAGCAAAGGCTGCAAATCTTTGGGGACGGCAAGATGGTGCAGGTTCCGTTGCACAATGAACGGGTCCTCTTCGAGCGAGAGATGTACATTTGCTCGCACACATTCACAAACGCGGTAGGCAAGAAGCTTTGCGAGGTGTATTTGTGGGCCGGGGACGAAGTGCCAGCCTCAACCGTTAAGGCTGCTGAGGGATTCGTCGGCAGGGAGGCCAAGGCTGTCGGTGGTAAAATGATCGTCCTCAAGCAAGGAAAGGAGACTCCCGAGTTCCTCCAGGCCATTGGCGGCGTCGTCATTACCCGCCGTGGATCCAGTAACAAGTACGATTCCCTCGCGCCCAACATGCTTTGCGGCCGCAGGTACTTCGGCTTCGTCGCCTTCGACGAGGTGGACTTCTCCCCCGTCAACCTGTGCTCTGGATTTTCCTACTTGATCAACCAGCAGGGCCAGTGCTTCCTCTGGAAGGGCAAGGGAAGTGACTCGGAAGAGCTCGAGAGTGCGCGACTCATTGGCATGGACTTGTCTCTCACTGGCCAACTCGAAGAGATTGATGATGGCAACGAGCCGGCTACGTTTTGGGATATTTTCGATGGGGGCTCGAAGCAGCTCTCGGCTGATCACTGGCGACTGAAACCGAATTACTCTAAGTACTGCTGTCGACTGTTCTGCTCGGACGCATCCTCCAAACAGCAGGTAAGTTTTTTTTAAATTTTTTTTTTCTTTAACAATGCAGATTGTGCCCTTTTTCGTCCGATATTCCGGCTAACATGGGAAAATCGATAGATCATCGAACTCAGCCCGTACAGCCAATCAGACCTCAGTCCCAAGAACATTTACGTGCTCGATGCCTTCTTCGAGATGTACATTATTGTTGGCGCCGAAGCCAAGACACAATACGCGTCGTTCCGGAATGCCCTCGACTTCGCCCAGGAGTACGCTATACTGGCCAGCGGCATGGAGGACCGCCCCTTCGTGCCCATCTCGACGGTAGTCCTAGAGGGTATTCCGCGCGATCTGAAGAGCGTTTTCCGAAAGTGGCGGGATGCGAACAGCCCGACTATCATGCCCCCTCCTTCCACGCCAGGTTCTGGCTTGAAGAGAGGTAGGAGTTTGAGGATTGTGCCGCTGACCCAGGCGTTGCAGGCGCTGGCCGAGCCATAGTGAAGAGGTGATATTTCAAGCTTGGATGGGTGCTTTTTTCCCGTTTCTTTGTTTTCCTTTCGGCCTTCCTATGTTGTTTCGATGATTCCCGTTACACGTTTCGTTTGGCTCGCTTTTGTTTCCTTTTTTTCCCTATGTGTTAATGTCTACACAACTTGGGGAGTGTGCGATTACTCCTATTGGGAGGGAAAGGTTAACGTCTTACGGCCTCCACGGTTGTCCGCATTAAAAAGGGGAGTTTGGAGGAATTGAATGGGAATTTCATGTTATTATTCTACTGAGTGTAGAGTAGCAGGAGGTAGTAAAATCGGGGGAGGAAGCCAGCTCATTTGTTTTCTTGATACCTCGTTTTTTAAACCACATTTGTCGGTCTCTTTGATTACTTCCTCTTTGCGTCGGTGAGTGTATTGTGTATGCGTATAGGTCCATTCCCTGTACCCCTGACGCCAGCTCCATAAATCTCGCCATCACAGCATTTTAATCAGTTTAGGAGGATACGTAGATTCTCCCGTCTCCCTCCCCTCCCCGACCTCAGCCCCAGCAGGGCATCTAGTACAGGAACAGCCTACTCTTGGCATCTTCAACGACCCAAGCCAGCCCTTCCTTGAGATTCTCCCCGGTCACCGCACTACAGGGAAGGATGTGCCACCTATGGGTACGGATCCCGTGTAAATCGAGGCTCTATATAACAATGGCAACGTCAGGTCTCCATGAACTCGGCGGGAAAGTAGTGATATGCTGAGCCAGCGTACCTGAATGATTTCGTCCTTTGTCATGCAACCAGTTACGTCGATCTTGTTCGCGAAAACGAGAAGACTCGCTCCCGAAAGTCTCTGCATATTCCTTCCTTTTAGCGGACACCGAAGCAGCTTCGTCTTCTCTCTGTTCAAAAGAGTTCGGGGGAATTCAACTCACCTCCTCCATCAAAAGACTGTGTAGCTCCTCTTTGCAATCTTGTATGCGTAGACGATCGGTCGCGTCGACGACCCAGATTAGGACGTCTGTTTTCTCAAAGTAATTGCGCCAGTAGGACCGGAGGGTTTTTTGGCCGCCCACATCCCCTTTTAGAGAGAGAATCCAGTGAGCATGTCTTCAAATATGTTTGGGGGATTAAGGAGGGAAGATGGGAAGCTTTACAGATGTTGAGCTTATAGCTGTGGCCATCATATCGTTAGCTTAAGTCCTTCATCGTTCGGGGGAGATGGGGAGGAAAGAAAAAGGTAGGGGAAGGTATATTCACCCGTCGTAGTCGATTGTCTTGATGATGAAGCCTAGCGTCGGGCTCACAGTCGTGATGTCCTCGCCCATTATCCGCTTGACGATGGTTGTTTTCCCCGCATTGTCAAGGCCCCTGGGTTTTTAAGATGTTAGTAGACGATGATACTTTTCTCTCCACATAACAGACCTTATGTCTGAACTGGTGGTAAATGAGACGAGCGTCGATATCCCAGGCTCATGTACCTCAAAACCAAGCTCCCCGGGCGCTTGGGAGGAGACAACAAACAAAAGCAAGACTCACAGCATCAAGATCCTCATCTCCTTATCCTTCAGCCGCGCCTTTCTTAATATAGACAACATTTTATTCTGGACCCTCGAACCACAATCCGAGGTCATTGGCAAGAGGGAGGAAACGGTTGGGGGCGTCCAGAACAAGTGGAAACCCCGCAAATTATAAACCCTCGATTTTAAGATTTCCGAATTTCAATTTTCAGATAGTGAAGGTGAATGAATATGAGAGCCAAAAGGTGCAGTTGATCTTATTTGATTTTTTTAAAACTACAGGGCAAGAAACGTCACGAGTAATTATGAGCTCTACTCAAGGCTCTTCTGCTTCATTTAAACTACTTGGAAGATCGAGCTGAGACATGATGGTCTGAAGGCATCCTTGAAATGGCCACCTAAGCCGACCCCACGTGACCATCTTCGACATCCTGTAAAATCTGGACTTGTTCCTGATCGAGCTTCGAGAACCAAGGGGATTTGCTTCTTACTCTGCTTTTACATGCACACCTTCTCGCAATGTCTGCGGCCAAAAGTTTTCGTCCCAAAGGGGGTCTTTTCTTATATTTTCTGAGTTTTTTTTTGTGTTTATAAATAAATAAAGTCACTATCCCACATCTCACCGAACCGAAGACCGAAACGAAGCACATCAGTTGATATCAATGTTCAATGTCCACAAGCTTCAGAGTTGTGGCTTTCGCCAATCTTGGATGTCTTTCGGTACTGTGGCTAATCCTGGAATGCGTTAGAAGCTGTCTCCGGTATTCTGTTATGACATTCACGTACCTCGATTCAAAAAAGAAACAAACACAAACCAAGACACTCGGGCTCCCGTTTAACGGCGTCGGTAGTCTAGAAGAATCTCGTAGTCGCCAAACTTGGAACGTCTTCCCCAGGTGATCTTGTCAAGCCAATCAGTGTCGGGGCTCACGCCTTTGTACGTGCCCAAGGCATGGCACATGGGCGAGAACTCAAAGATGGCCTCGATGAATCGACGCTTCCAGTCGGTGTTGGAGTCGAAGATTTGCTTGACGAAGCTCTCAACGAAAATAATGCGGTATCGGTTGGCGTTCTCTGCAGCCGTGGTGCTGTACACATTGCCGGGGTTGGGGCAAACCCACTCGCACTGGATCTTGGGCTGGTACTCCTTAACCGTCATTCGGAGCATGATGTCGATGAGGGCGCTGCCGATTCCCTGGCGGCGCTTGTCAGGCAAGACGAACACTTGCATCTTCGCGGCCCAGTTAGCATTTCCCTCGTCAGAAGCAATACCGTGGTCAAAGGGGCAGAGGTAGGCGAAACCGAGAACCTTAGCCTTTCCTCCCTTGCCAGACTCCTCTCGCCATCGCATATATTCGTCAAAGACCGCTCGGTCAGGCCACATGGAGGCATCGGCAAGATGGTCCTCCTTCTCAGCGGCAACGATGAAGGGCCTATTGTGGGCAACACAGGCTTGGAAAATATCCTGGAACTTCGCGACGGGTGCTTCCTCGGAGTCAGGGACCATTCCGGCTCCCTTAACCTCAGCATTGTAGACGGCTGCCACGTGCACCATATCATTGAGGGAGGCGGGACGGAATTCGCAGGTAGCCTTGATGCTCTGGACAGGCCTGGGCTTTCTGAACTTGAGACGGTAATGATCAGTCTCCTTCGCCGTGAAGGACAACTCCATTGCGCACTTCTCCTCGAGGACACGGTGAATGGCGCGGCTGTTCTCAGCCTTTTCCTTCTTCATCATTTGCACCGTGATTCGATACTCCGAGGTCCAGTATTGAGGATGGAATCCAGACTCGCCATCACTAGAGCTGGAGGCGGTGGGGACAGGGGGTAGAGTGACAGGCTGGACAACTGGAGTCATCAGGTCACCCGTGGTGGTGTCGACGTCACACTCCCAGTGAGGAATCCTCACTTCGCGGCCGTGATCAGTGACATCGTCAGCAAAGTCTTCGCTTCCGGCCTGATCATCAACCTCATCCGGGGCCCAGTCGCGGAAATACGGATCATACAGTTCCCGGTTGATGGCGGGCTGCTCGGGGACGTCATAAATAGTCTCAATCCATCTCTTGCGGAATTGGATAATGAAGTCCCGACCCATCAACTCGCGGAGAGTGGGGTCGCTATGGGTAAACCAGCCATTGCTGTTACGCACGATGGTGTGCACGTCGGGGTCGACCTTGAGACGGAAGTGACGAGGTTTACCGTCCGGGAGGGGCTCGTAAATGGATTCGCAATCCGGCAGAGTCTTGTAAACAATTGTCTGATCGAGATTCAAGTTGGTTGCGTCCACGATGTCAGAAGAAGCCTCCTGGTCAGGCTGGGAGCTGCCTTGTTGTGACTGTTTGCTGCTGTGGATTGTGTCGTCACCCGGCTCTCCAGAGACAGAGGCAGATGGTCCAGATGTTCCTGGGATGGAGTTGGTTTCCTTAGAGACAAAGGCGTCCATGGTCCGTCCGAGAGCGGCGTAGGCCCTCGGGTCTGGCTGAATTTTTGCCATGTTGTGAAGTAACTTCCCTTGAAGTTTGGGGGAAACAAAGTCGATTGAGCTTCGAGGGACTGATGCGGAGGTATCCAACCACTTCGGGTACAGGTGCTGATGAGACCGCTGTCGCGATGGTTTCTCAGGCTGCTTACCGCGATGAGAAGTTGCAGTTTGATTGCCACGAAGAGGGTGAGATGCCTTGGTTTGCAGAGAAGATCGCGAGTTGTTTGTTTTTAGCGATGTATGTTGTAGGGATGGCGCTTCGGGGGACTTCTGGCTGCTGCCGCCGGATGGGCTTTCCTTTGAGCCATGGTTTGCGTCAAGACTCGAGTCTGCTGCCTTTTTCTCAGACTTAGATGTCTTTCCGTGAGGGTTGTCCTCAGACGTAGTATCACCAAACTCCGAAACCACGAACATGACACTGCTGCTTGTGGATGCTCGAGAGAAACCACTAGCATGGTCCAGCTGTAGCTTACGCCGATCTGCTAAAGAATAGTTAGTTTCAGAATAAAATTCAAAGAGTAATAGTAGATTTCAGGTGCGTCCTTACAGCCTCCAACTTGTACAGTCTGTTTATTCTGCATCTTTGCATCTGCAACAAGGGGAGTAGTATGAGGGTGCCCCAGTGGCCGAGAAGCTGTTTTCACTGTCACAGCATCAGATGCCTTGCCTCCCTGATTCTGGGGCACACGAGCCTTAGAAGCACCATCACTGATGGTTTCCAGGGCCTTAGGTCCTCTCAAATGAGGTGGGACATAGCCAGCCTCCTTTGTCCAGGGCGCTGTCTTGACTGTGTCGCCCATCTCTGATACCTATCATAAAGGTTAATACGATATGGCCCTGACCATCCAAGTGCGTTTAATTGAGGATACAAGTAAATGGGTGGCGACAAAGAAAAGAGAGGGAACGGGGACTAAGACATCAAACAAAGAGCCTTGTCCTCGAGAGATGGAAGATTGACAAGGTGGCAATGAAGTTGGAGAGAACCTGAACCTGGCGAGGTGCTCTACACTTGAATAGA